AACAAAAAAAGGTCCTTTCATTATGAAATCTACGTGGTCATGAGGGTTGAGCAAATGGCACAGAATATGGTTTGGCGAATAATCTAGTCTTCAAGTTCATTTCTTTACAATTTCGTATTTTTTCGTTTGATTTTGGCATTCTACGACATTGGTATAGTTTTTATTAATTTTTTTGGTAACTTATGGTACATTTTTGCTCATTTTGCAACTGTTTTGTACGATTTACAGTATGGTTGAAATTTTTTTTTTTGGAAACGGCCAAAAATTCATGCGCGCGTGGATGTCATCCATATAATCAAATCAACATGGCCTAACCTTGAGCTCGAGAAAGGCTTCTCCTGGTTACACACGTTTTGATCAGTATTCAATTCCATGAAATAAAATCACATGAGTTGTTGATAATTCATCTGATGTAAAGAGTGTTTTTTATAGAGTAATCATTATGGCTGTGATTTTTATGTGTCATTTGTATTTAATTTATTCGCATGGTTATAAATTGAAAAAGTAAACAATTTACATGAAACAAATAATGTGCAGGAGGGGGCAGAAAACCTTCCGGGCTTGTACAATGCCCTCCTCCTTCCTAACTTAATCGCGAAATGAAAGATGTAAGATCAATATTAATGTAAAGGAATTAACAGAAAAACTATAATGAAAACTAATACATATAAATGAATATCATAACTAATATAGTAATTAAAAATTAATTGATGAATACAAAGATAATGCAAAGTCATAGCACATTATGTCATAAGGCCATGTTGATTTGATTATATGGATGACGCGCGCATGAATTTTCGGCCGTTTCCAAAAAAAAAAAGTTTTCAACCATACTATAAATCGTACAAAACAGCCGCAAAATGAGCAAATATAAACCGTAAGTTGCAAAAAAAATATTTAAAAACGGTACCAATGTCGTAGAATGCCAAAATCAGACGAAAAATACAAAAATGTAAAGAAATGAATTTGAAGAGTAGATTATTCGCTATGTGTCCTTCATGACCACGTAGATTTCATAATGAAAACAACTTTTTTTTGGCCAAACTTTTTTTTATTCGCACGCTCGCATCAGTTTTGGGGTTCCCAAAGGATGTCATCCATATAATCAAATCAACATGGCCTAACCTATACTCAAAAGCAAGGTTTGCCGATGACCGCCTGGTTGTATGTAGAGCTATCTACAGAACGACTCACAACTTCTGCAAAAAGATCTGAACACCCTGGAAGAATGCCAAAGCAAATGGCTATAATAATCACGAAATATGCTATATTATGAACATATAACAATCAAACGAAACCCACATGTCATCGTCTTTTATATCATACAAACGTATTAATAGTTTATACGAATTTGTCACAAATTACGATTTTCTTAGCTGACATCTGACTGAGAGTGCTGCTTCAGTGCGTTAACATCGTGATGCCATGCTGTCCAGTACCTATCATACAAATCCGTGTTAGTATAGTGGTGAGTATCCCCGCCTGTCACGCGGGAGACCGGGGTTCGATTCCCCGACACGGAGAATATATTTTTGCTACGGTTCTGAACAATTTTTAAAAATCTTATTGTCTCATAGACATTTCACCGTCCACAACAACATGTAATGCAAGTACATTTTATGGTGTATATTCATAAAAAAATACCAAAGGTTACATACATCATTATTTCGTCATTAAAATAGACTAATTCTCATAGATGAACGATTGCACTTAGCTCCAAGACACTGACCAAATATGGCTGCTGACTGTAATTTTTTTGACGGAAAAATATTTTTAAAAAGTACCCCAACGTTTAGATAATTCCATTAACCAATCATTAGTTATATACGGTTTGAATATTGCCTCCATCAACGTTGGTGACCAATGGCAGCCAGGATCTAGATCTGTTCAAACATTCTTGGGGGCTCGCAAGCCCTTTTCCGTAGAGCGTAATCGGCCGTTTTAATTCTACATAGAGCGTAGACGGACCGCTGTAATATTTTTGCGTAGAGTATTTGGCATTTTGATTCTACGTAATGCGTTGTAGCCACTTGGAATTTATCGTAAAGCGTAATCGAGAGGTTTCCGAATTCAGCGTAGAGCGTTGTCGGGACCCCCCTTGCAGACCCTCATTCTTATCAATGTTTGGTAAAGTCGACACTGGGCCGGTGAAATGTACTTTGAGACTGTCCCTGACTGGCCGCCGCAGCAACGGCCTACAGTTCAACCTAGCTTCCTCAGAGTTGAGCTTTACGTATACTTTTGCAATCATGAAGGCAACGATCCTTGTATTTGTCGCTTGTGTCGTTTCTGTGGGGTATGGCGTCCCAAACGACATCCTGCGGGAAACAGGGACACACTCCTGCTCGTGCCAGGACATTGGGAGGCTGGAGGTAAGTACACGTATATACAAGTTCTTTCAATGCAGATTTCGTCAGTGTATATACCAGGGATAATTAATATTATTATTTGATTAGTGAAACTTGCCACTGGCAACGACTATGATATCTCCGAAAGCCCCGATATTTTTTTTCTGTTGACCAGTCTATCGACAAAATACTTGAACTTTGAAATCACAATATGCTTTATTCCTGACCTTTGAAACCTTTCTGTCGCACATATTATCAGCGTGTTCTCAGGTATATGTCGCTATACATAGATGGAGTAGGTGTTGTGTTGTAATTTTTCCTTATTTCTACAAAGGACGCGGTCGGAGACCTCACCCACACGATCAGTATCCTAGCAGATCGACTGTCCCAGATGGAGACCACCCTCATGGCCACTCAAACTTTGGCTTCCCTGGACCACGGTCTCGGTACCGAGCTCAACCCCGCCTCCTCCTGCCTTCACATCAAACAGAACAACCCCTCCAGCCAGGACGGAGCCTACTTCCTCATCGGGAAGGGCGGAACCATCTACCAGACCTACTGCGACATGACCACGGCCGGAGGCGGCTGGACGCTGGTCTCCAGCGTGCACGAGGACGACATGTACGGCAAGTGTACGGCCGGGGATCGCTGGTCCAGCACTCGCGGGAACAACCGCAACTATCCCGGCGGAGACGGCAACTGGGCCAACGTGCACACCTTCGGCTCCATGGGGTCGGCCACTACCGACGACTACAAGAACCCAGGCTACTTCAGCATCAGCGCCTCCAACGTCATGCTGTGGCACGTCCCGAACAACGTACCACCGAAGGACTACAAAACCGCCGCCTACCTTCGGTACCGCACCTCCGATGATTTCCTGAATGGCTACGGAGGCAACCTGTACTCGCTCTTCAAAGATCACTTCCCCATTGGCTACAACCTCGGCACGTACACCCTCGACAACGGCCCGGCCATCCCCATTGTGTACGAACTGGGTAACGATACTCTAGTAGAGTCTCTGTTGCCTCCGAACGTTGTTTCCCTACATGAAGCCGTCCCAGGGTTCGTGCAGTTTCGGGTGTTCACCAACACTCGCTCTTGCACTGCGGTTTGTCCAGGTGTGAACTACGTCGGCGGCAACTCCGAGACAGTGTGTATCGGCGGAGGGGGGTACTGGGCAGAAGGTCTGTCTCAGTGCGGCGACTACCTGTGGAAGGCCTTCAGCGGCTACGGTACCGGTATCGGCTGGAGCTCAACTCGACTTGTCACGGAGTCCGTCATCATGTTCTTTTATCGCTGATGAAGAGAGTGCGAAACATATCAAGGTCCACTCAGTGAGCTGGAGTCAGAAAGCCTCACACTAGTTAGTGGGCTACATCAGCAGGATATCTGTGAGATACACGTCGCAACTGTATCTTTTGATGCCTGTGTCCAGCAAAACATGAATAAAGGAACCACATTTCATCGGTTGTTTCTATAAATGTGTGGAATCATGTCTGAATTACCTACAAATCTAGTCTGGTTACCAGACCTATTATAGCTCCCGAGTCCTACATCCTCTCCGCAAATACATCAAATACATGTAGAGAAGAGGAGAGGATGTGGGCTATTTGCGGAGAGGACGTAGGACTCGGGAGCCATAATAAGTCTGGTAACTAGGCTACTACAATTCCAGGATCCCACTGAGAAGGCATATAAAGTCGAATATGCAGAGTTGACGTCTCGCAGTTTGATCACCAACACAATGGTAGAAATGTATACGTAACATATTCGACATTAGGTGACCTAGCCTGGTGCAAAAAGATACATAAGATCGTAGCTGTATGGTCTACTTGTCGACCTACTTCTGCGACTCTCAACAATCAACCTTTGGACTAGCTTTGATCAGTGAGACCACTGAACCAGCTACAACATAACTGTTCATTATGTACTCCCTGGCCATCACAACTGCGCAAACACTATCAATTTTGTTAGTTCTGCTTATGAAGTCAAATCACAAAATTAAAGGGGAAGAGGGTAACATATTCATAGAATGGAGGAATCCTCCAAATTATCAAGCCCTTAACGGCATCATCTCCCATTCTGAGATACATGATATCACTGGGACTGTCTCGATCTGAGGAACGCGAATTTAATTAAGTGAATAATCCTAGCTATACTCGACATTACGGTCTAAATGCTGACTCGTGCCTGTTTGTGATTGATGAATCGCGGCCTTACAACTTGCAACTTACCTGATTTAATTAACTACCTCAAGAACCGTGGTTGCACAAGAATGACAAGGACACTAACGTCACGATGAAGTCAGTTCCGCAAATCATACTGGAATAGATTACGGTAATATATATGCATATTCTCCACGCCTAACAGCTTTATAGGTATTGTACATCGTCCCAAATCCCTCCTATATCCATGCACAAGGCAGGGTTATGATTTATGATAGATAAAAGACACGAAAAATAACCTTCAGAAGTTCTGGCCGCTGACCTAATCTTTGACCTGTTACAACAACCCAGTGGTTGTATAACTCTCGTCATTAATCAAGAAGTCATGTTGCACATGAAGCCTGTTTTCGTAGGTATTTGTGATTTTTTGACCAATGGGCGACAAGATCCGTTCAAACATCCGGCTTGTCACCGCTTTAGAAAAGTTGCTACTGAGGCGATTTCTGCCAGTAGCTGCCTGGTCATTCCACCAGCGGTCAGCACTGCAATCTGACGCCTGAAACGTTTGGTTGTACCGGCCTCAGCGCCAGAAGTCACGTCATGATGAAGACGATAACTATTCTATTCGCGTTTTCTGTGGTTTCTGTTGGACTCGGGCAGGTGCCAACGGGCTCACCGTCTTGCCCCTGTCCTGACGTCCAAACGCTGACCGTGAACGTGAAAGATTTGCAGGATACAGTCAACTTTCAGCAGGTACAAACAGTTTTAATGCAATCTCGTCCCCTAGCTTACTGTTTGGTAAAAACAAATGACTGTGTAGACTTTTATAACGTGAATTCCTGTGCTGGCTCATAGTTTATCGACGAACTAGGTTAAACTATGTATTCAACATCTTTTCACTGAAAGTGCCACTAAGCTCCTACGGCGCAATTGAAAATATACAGGGTCATTCGTTAGTATCCTCTTCTAACTTCTGTGCCATTTTCATTCTACTCAGGACATAATCAGGAACCTCACCCACACCGTCAGTACACTGGCTGGTCGCCTGTCCCAGATGGAGAACACCGTTGTGGTCACACAGACCCTGGCTAGCCTGGACCATGGTCTCGGTACCGAGCTCAACCCCGCCTCCTCCTGCCTTCACATCAAACAAAACAACCCCTCCAGCCAGGACGGAGCCTACTTCCTCATCGGGAAGGGCGGAACTATCTACCAGACCTACTGCGACATGACCACGGCCGGAGGCGGCTGGACGCTGGTCTCCAGCGTGCACGAGGACGACATGTACGGCAAGTGTACGGCCGGGGATCGCTGGTCCAGCACCCGCGGGAACAACCGCAACTATCCCGGCGGAGACGGCAACTGGGCCAACGTGCACACCTTCGGCTCCATGGGGTCGGCCACTACCGACGACTACAAGAACCCAGGCTACTTCAGCATCAGCGCCTCCAACGTCATGCTGTGGCACGTCCCGAACAACGTGCCGCCGAAGGACTACAAAACCGCCGCCTACCTTCGCTATCGCACCTCCAATGATTTCCTTGATACCTACGGAGGCAACCTGTACTCACTCTTCAAAGAACACTTCCCCATCGGCTACAACCTCGGCACGTACACCCACGACAACGGCCCGGCCATCCCCATTGTGTACGATCAGGGTGACAACAACTTGGTCCAGTCAATGCTGCCTCCGGAAATCGTTTCACACAATGAAGCCGTCCCAGGGTTCGTCCAGTTTCGCGTTTTCACCAACCAAAAAGCGTGCCTGGCTGTGTGTGCAGGCGTCGACTTCGTCGGTATCAACGCGGAGCACGTGTGTATCGGTGGGGGATACGATCCACACCACGGCGGAAGGCAATGCGGTGACTACGCGTCCAAGGACTGGGATGGCTACGGCACGGGCGTCGGTATGAGCTCCACTCAGCTTGTAACGGAGTCTGTCATCATGTTCTTTTACCGTTAAGAAATGGCACACGATGGTAGGGCAATATGTCCATGTTTCACACGAAATGTATCCATGTGACATATACGATACAGTGCTAGTCATCCTTGTGTACTTTCTCTTTTAATAAATATACTCCATAGACCATTCAAACATGTTCCTGACACCTGTACTCACTTTACTTATAATTATCTATCATACCATTTGTATTAAAGATGTTATATTTGATCCTAAAAGGCAATATTCTTTCAGATCAATGGTCCTAATATCACCAGTCATTTAGCATGATGGAAATGCTGCAATAACCTTCAATAAAACAATAAAAAATAGACCATCATTGTCGAGATTTTCTTTAATTATGGTAGTGAATTGATATTGATATATGTCAACAGAGCCGTGCTGTATGTCTTGCTTATAAAATTAGTGGGTCACCCTTTTCTGCACTTCGACAAGATTTTAAGTACTGCAAAGAGCCTTCTCATGATTGTCTAACGTTATAATCTTCATCTGGTGGTATGCGAGATTTGTAAGTTTGCAACTTCATGATTCAACAGGGTTCTAATATATCAAGGTAGTCACTGTGTTTCCCAGTCAGTCATACCATGTAGCATACTCTACAGAATAGGAGCATTGCACAAAAGAATTTTTCAGGAAAGATGTGAATTTCAGGTCCTGGTATGCTTTTAGGAAAAGTAGTCTAAGGCAAAAACCTGTGTTGGCATTGTACTCCCTGTATTTCCCTTTTCTAGCTAAGCCTTTGCACATTATACTTTATACAAGTATGTGACCTTTAAGTCAGCCTTTAAAATCTTACATTTTATATGTACCAGCACATAGATCCAAAGATAGATTTAAGTCCATTACAATGGTGGGAATAGCATAATGGAAAGATAATAGAAATAGGTAACAGAATTCCAAACACACTGTACATTAAACATACAAGTATATTACACGTCAAATATAAAAACAAGAAAAATTGTTGAGTACAGAGCAGTATTCTCCAAGCAGAAATCAATTTTGATTTCTCAATTGCTGTGTCCTCTCTCCTTTAGCTAGCCTGGGTACCATCCTATTTGTATGCTGGGGCTCTCATACCAGGCATACAGATATTGGTACCCAGGCTATGCTTCACTATGACAAGCTACATGATGGCACACTTGTCCGTGTTGTGTCCTCTCTCCTTCAGCATGACCTCATACTCCTCCACCTGCTGCAGGTAGCTCACAGGTGGCCAGCGATGCTCCTCCACATGCTCCAGGTTCTCACCTGTAAGAAAATAACAATGACAATAGTAGAAGTTGTATTATACAACTGTCAGGCTTAACTTGGTTCCTGTACAGAAAAACTTTTAACAAGTAAAAGTTTAGTAAAACAGTTCTCTGTAGGATAGAGCTAGAAGGCAGCTAGAAATTACATTACTGAACTGAACTGAGATATTACTCTGATTTTACTCTGACTGAAATTAAATTGATGAGTGGTATTTGCTTCAGTTACTTTGTGGAAGAAAATGGTCAGTTATGTCAAGAAGGTTGAGGGGTTGGTTATGTACATTCTTACAGTGCACTAATGTCACAGTAATACAACAGATTTTGGTGGATTCTTGTGCATTATGTGGATCAAACTCACCTTGTAGCAGACTGAACTCTGGCCTCTTACTAATCGCAGTGTAGTTGGTGGAGATGAAATGTAGACACCAGGAGGACAGCTGGGGTGCATTGTGCATCTGTAGGTGTAAAATATAACAATTTAGCATTTCTTTTAATGACTCTACATATTTGTGATAGTCACATTTGTGTCTCTGACACTGACAAATTTCTAGAATAAGTTTAATGACACAAATTATTGTACATGTACCACTAAGGCAAATGATTTCATTTCTACTGCTGGCTCTATCAAAAATTATAAGACTATATTTAAAGGTAGCCCTATTTTTGTGGCACGTATGATTTACAAATGATTTAGGGATTCTGTATCTGTATGTACAGCAGGTATAACACCCTTCGGCATACCACACCAGATTCCCAGCCAGGCATGTGACTTGTTACACCTAACCTTTGAACATCTAACTCTAAATGTTGTTTAAAGCTATATAATGATTGTCAGAAAAGGAATCAAGAAAGATGTAAAATGAGCAGCCTGACGTCCCAACCTGTGCCAAGACGAGTAGACCAATCACATCAGTGGAAGACTTCTCGATACTCTCTCTTGTGTCTCGGTCCACATCCTTTGTAGTGTACAGTTCACACATGCTGATGAGCCGCGTCTGTCCGTACTGGTCAGCCAGCGGCAGGATGTCCAGCGGTCCCACCTCCTCGATGGGTGCGTGGTCAGTGTAGAGGTACTCCAGGAGAGCCAGGAACACATCTGCAGATGTCCCTGTCACTGGAACCTGTGGTAAGTGTCAGTTGAAATATTCCCTTTTCATCTTTTTACATTCATGAATATCTGTAACGGTTATGACTATTGTAAAGGGGGAGTAGTGTAACAGTGGGGGGTTTATAGGCGCTACCAACTGACCTGGCCGACGGGTCTAGACCTTTTCGGCCAAGCGGTTAGAGCATCTGGTTATGAAGCTGTTGCTCGGGAGGTCGTGGGTTCGAACCCCGGCCCGGGACCAGTAGGGTTTTTACTGGCTCCTGTTTCTTACAGTGGTTCCCACACTGGCCCTGGGAGTTCTGCTGGAGCAAAGAGTGCCGCTCCAGGGATGTCGAATTCGGAAGATTCGAGGACGAATCTTGAAAAAGAAAAGGGGGAGTAGTGTAACAGTGGGGAGTTTATAGGCGCTACCAACTGACCCGGCCGATGGGTCTAGACCTTTTCGGCCGAGTGGTTAGAGCGTCTGGTTATGAAGCTGGTGCTCGGGAGGTCGTGGGTTCGAACCCCGGCCTGGGACCAGAAGGGTTTTTACTGGCTCCTCCTGTTTCTTACATATCAAGTGTTACACAGAGACTTAAGACAGTGAAAAGTTCACAACTGCAGGTCTCAATGCAAATTCTGTTAAGATTTTACAATTGTGTAAAGCGTACCTTAGAACTTGAGCTCTCAGAAAAGCTGCCTCCAAACATGACCCCCATAACCTCTGACCTACAGGTCAAGATGGCCTTATGCGCATGGACTGTGGTACCTGGAAACACATAGGTGACATAAAAATCAATGCTTAATTATGCAACTAAGTGGATATGTACTAGTATGCATCCTTCCATCTCAAGAGATGATGGTAGCATCTGATGTGCCTGTCATAGAAACCTGTGGTGAGGACATATTAATCTACTAAAAACACAGCATGGCTAAGGGTCGCAATATGATTGTAGTTGATTGATTTACTTGTTTTATTTTAAATCCTCTACTACATACCAAGGCGGAATAGACTGACTAATCCCGCTCCTGGCGGCCGGCCGCCCCAAAGTTGCCGCCCCCCTTGGGGTGGGGGTCATTAACCTCCGGCCGAGAACTTGTGTAACACAGGCTACAAGGCGGAACAGCATAATATTCTACACTTGTCCATTTGAACTAGCTTAGAAGTTTTTGAATTTTTGCCATGACTTGACACCTTCCTTTTTGACATGTCATTTTAGTCAACTTTTAAATACAAACTGTAGAAAACTCCTCAAAACCTACCTTCTACAACAAAGCTGACATCAGAGAGCTCTGGCTTGTTAAAGAACAGCTCTTTGATCCTCTGTCCCGTGGTATCATTCAGGTAGGTGCCGATGCTGGGGTTCAGGAACTCCTCTTTACGGCTGATGTTATCGCACACCTGGCTGAGGTACGGCAGGTGGAACAGTTCAGCTGCAGCTGTGAGTCTGGTCAGGTTCTCTTCTGTCGGAGCTTCAGTCAGGACTGGAAGGCCTACAGGAACATAACAGTCAAATAAAATACTTTATTAATTTACAGAAAGATTACTTTTAGCTCGCTTCTTCTCCAAACAAATAAGGTCAATGACCTGAACTAGATGTCTGTCACCATGGTAACTACTGTTGGGTTACATCATGTTGCAATTTAGAACAGGAGGGATTTTGACTCCTGTCACCATATGTATGAAATTGTGTGTTAGAGTAAGAATTAATAGAGCAGACCATTTGCAAAGGTAAACATTATGCATTTCCTTTGCAAATGTTACCTTTCTAGGTACATTATGCTCAAACTAGAAGTTACTCAAAGTCAAGATGGCTAAGTGAGCTTGATGCAAGTCTTTCGAAAATTATCTTAGGACCTACTTGTATACATGCATGTAGGATTTTCTAGAAACATTAATAAACATGTAACTAAGACATACTGATCGTACCCAAGTCTGTATCTGTATCTTTATCTGTATAGCCGGTATAACCGCCTTTCGGCGTAACACACCAGCTTTGCAGGCACGCGGCGCGGCGGCAGCTGGCTATATAACACCGATCGACTTGTTACACCTAACCCTTGAACTTCTAGCTCTAGACTATAGTCATGGGATATTTAAAAAATTACTAATGTGCCTTGATACTATGAGCATTAATATTTATACGGTACCTGAGTACAGAAATTCCAGGATATGTGTGAAGATCTCGAGACTGATGTCTTCTCTCAGGGTAACCACAGTCCCTGATGTCCCCTCTTCAATCCCAGCAACCCCTGCACAGCCAGCAGCAAAGTTTGGGGTACTCTTGGACGATTTGCCTTTCTGAAAACATATTGTTCAACAATAAGGTACGTTTGACTCTGGTCAATGCTATTGCCATTATATGCTGTAGCCATTTGAGATAGAAGCAACAACAAAACATTTAGAAGAAACTTAGAAACTTTATTGTGATACCACACATACACGAGTATTTACAATCAATGTTTTGTGTTCTACTAAGAACATTATACAGAACGTCCTTGGTTTTACTAGTCAGTCATTCTTATATACAAAACATTGATATCTCTTACAAAAACGTAATCTGCAGGTTTTTTTACCAACCTTATTTGATGATTGAACCCCAAAGAGGTTCTGGAAGAATTCAGAGGCACTGCAGAGGACCAGTTTGTGTGCTGGGACACGGTGTGACCCCTCCACCACAAAGGTCACGTCACTGTAGTCACCTGACTTCAGCAGCTGAGTCATGTGATCAGCAATGGTGGAGGTCTCAATCTCAATCCACGGAGCCTGACCTTTTGATACAGATACAAAGAAATGAGGTTGTTGAGTTTCTGTTTCAGTCCTAAAAAAATTAGGGTCGGTAGGTAGGGATTATATTTGTTCTATCTTTCCTTTTTTTTTTTAGACTTTAAATTTAAATTTGGTGATCTCTAGTGATACATTTACACAATTATACAGTTTATCAAGGTGAAACTTCCATTAGGACACTGAGGAATCAGATCATGGCTCTAGAGAAGCTCGGTCAGGCTCAAAAATGCTAGGGTTGGCTAGTTTTTTCTAGGGTCGGTCGGGAAACAGGAAACACAACATTTTTTTCCTAATCCTAGGCCTTACCCTGGATTCCAATCTTGTTTAATAGCTTTAGTTCTCTTCCAACAGTCACTACCATGCCAACCAGACAGGGTAGCGACTGTGGAAGTGGACTAAAGCTAACAAGACTGGAATCCAGGGTACAGACAAATATGTCATAGGACCAGACTCACCAACTCATCCAGATAAAGAATAAAGCTACTCATGGAAAGGACAGCAAAAATGTTGATAATTTATGTAAAACATCATTGGTTTTCAACACAAAAAGTTCAAATTTTGTCATTTGGGAATAGATCTGGGGCACCCAACTTTTTTTACTCTTATAATTCAATTTATAATCCTATTCAACGAATATTCTGGGCTTATATTGCAGCTATGTAAAAATATGTTCCTCCTCATAATCTTAAAGAACAAAGACAACAAATCCATGGATAGAAGGGTAATAGAACCCCTGTATATTTCCATGATCATATTTATGGTTTTATGAAACAAAGGAGCAGTTCAGACACATACCAGCAGGAGGCATAACAGGAGGAGGTGGGAGAGAGTTGGACTTTTTCCCTTTCAGCCAGGAAGGGAACCACTTGCCGAGGGAGCCTCCTTTTTTTTGCTGCGCTTTTGAACTCTGGCCTCCAAGTTGTATCTGTGATGATTGACAAAAAGACATAAATCTGCTACCTACATAGATAGAATGTTTCCAGAACTCATCTTCTAAAAAAAGTTTTCACTCACTCTCACAGAAAAATAAGAGATTGTATCATGGTTGTCATGTTGATCACTGTAACTAAAAATGGTTTGCAATTTTGTTGGACATTATGCTGTTTTTTTACTGACATCTAGACATAGAAAAGGACACAAGTTACAGTCCTTATAGACTGGAAACTCACATTGTCCAAAATACAAGGGCAGGACACAGTAAGATACAACAGACTGAGATGGTACGGCCACCTCCTGAGAATGGACAGGGACAAATGGCCAAAGAGGATCCTCACACTAGATGTGGAGGGTCCAAACGCCCGTGGTCGCCCTAGGAGGAAATGGTTCGACAAGATACGGGAGGACCTCCACCACCTGAACTTGGACAAGATCAACCCACAGGACAGAGACAAGTGGCGTGCTGCCATCAAGCCCCAGTTGTACTGTGCAAGCACGTCTAACCCTCGGAAGACAGGGAACAACGGACGATAAACCGGACAGTGAGTGAGTGAGTGACAATGTACTTACTGCATGGTTCATGAGCTCTTTCAGTCCTACATGCTTCAGTGAGCTGGTCTCGTGGTAAGGAACATTCAAACTCATGGCAAGTTGCTGCCCCTCCTGCCAGGAGACACACCTAGATGCTGTGTCAGTGCGAAGATCTGCAAAGGAAAAAAATATATACTGTTTTTTCTCATGTAATTATGATTTCTGACACTAATGTATGGTCTCGTGAATTGTTGCACTGTATGTAAATGATTGGAATCAAGACATGAACCATACTGGGTTCTGCTTCAACCATCAATATTTGAAGACGAAAGCACCCTATGTAGTCACACAACTTCCAAAGATAATAAAAATTTTCAGTAGTGGAGACAGCAGGAGCAAAATGAAATGATTTTAAGTATCATTACCAGTTTTTGTGGCCACTAGACTGATGCGTGCATCAAGACAGTAACCGTGGACCTCTGGGTACCATTTTTGTTGAATATTTTCAAAGGAACTTCTGTTGTCAACATCAAAGTATGACCAAGAAGGCAAGAAGATATCTGTCAATTGATATGCTAACACTAACAAGATGATCATAGTTCTGCTGTTTGAACATATACATGCACAAATTACTTCATAAGAACAGCAAGAATATACATAATGATATGTACCAGTTTTTGTGCCTACAAGGATGATAGGTATGTCGGGACAGAAATGTCTGACTTCTGGAAACCACTTTTCAGAGATGTTCTCGAAAGAAGCCCTGTTGTCAATGTCAAAGCACATCAGGAAGATGTCAGTCTGTGGGTAGGACAGTGGGCGGAGACGATCGTAGTCCTCCTGAAGAGCAAACAGCAGATGTAAATTCACTCACTCACTCACTCACTCACTCACTCACTCACTCACTCACTCACTAACTCGAAATGCCACCTGCATATGCAGGTTAGTGTATTCAAACTGTATATTTATTAAAATTGGGGCTGTGTAGGTATTTCTGAGTTTCTATCAAGTGTATATAATGTAGATCTTTAGATGTATTACACCTAAAAACCACAGTATTGACTGGTACCAACTACTATTTTGAATGAAGTATAAAAGAACCTTCAAACAACTTCTGAATAGTTTTTAGCATGATCCATCCAATATATTACATGCACTTTCTAAATTATATGAGTGCAATGCAGAAAAATGCAGAAAAAATTTTTCATGATGTTGCAATTTATTGATGACCTGTTGAATAAAATATATCTTTCAAGTTGAAGTTTGACTTGGAATTCAACATAAGATAAAGGACAAACACCTGAAATCAGACAAAAGGAGCTGCTCACCTGTCCAGCCGTATCCCAGAATGCAACGTTGTATGGTTTCCCTTCCACCATGATGTTGGAAGCATAGTTGTCGAACACAGTGGGAACATATTCACTGGGGAATGCCTCTGTGTTGTAAGTGATGAGGAGGCAGCTCTTCCCTACCCCTCCATCTCCAACAATCACCAACTTGATACTTTGTATACTCATTGTTTCACTGATGAAATAAGGTAAATAGAAGAACAGGTGGTCAGGGTCCCTACTAATAGGGAAAATTTTGATATACGTTAATTTTATGTATTAAGGCTACACAATGTCCTTGGGTGACATCTATGGCAACCATACACAGAAAAGCTTGCTGTGCGGAATGCAATACCCGAAACCCCCATAACCGCCCTTGGACAGGACCAGAGTCAGCAGTTTATGCAGACTGGACCGGGCAGATGATTCCGTATACCCATGCACCAAGCTAAATGCAGCTCTTGCAAGACATTTGAAGTCACCTGTTTACAATACAATGTGGAACTGAAAATTGTATCTTAGATTCTTACTGAACACAACATAAAAACGTATCTGTCTTGCTGGACAAGATAACTTGTTACAATTAAGGACATTACACATGCAGCATAAAGATACCTATAAGACAATTTTTTGCCCAATTTGATTACGTAGTTATCTATGGATCTATGGATCCTCCAATGTATGAAATGTCTTACCCTCAGGATCCGCCTACAGTTCCCCACCTAATCTGGAACGTAACAACACACTCACTGACATTTGAAGGAACAACTTGGAGCTTTTATAGCCGACTCAGTCATAGGCTAAAAATAGCAACCAATCAATGGCCATGCAGTAATGTCTAAATATGGCAACCGATCCTTGCTACCAGCGGCAGTGACGAATCTTTCGTTTTGGGGCGGTATAAAAGAGTTTGAATCGGGAAAGAGCTGCATGATTTGCGGCATTTCGCAGCAGTAGACAACAGAAGACACCCAGATGAGTTCTTGTTAGTTCTCTCGGCAACTAGTACAAACTACGATGCCAGGGGGGAACGCTCCGAAAATGGACTATTCTGACATAAATTTGTTGAACAAACTCTACCAAACAACACATTGTGAACCATTCACATATAAAAATAAAGACAATAGATACCCGTTAATCTTAAATTATTGACATTAACCGCTATTTTTATTTACACATATTGATGTAAATTTGAAGCCCCCTCCTTTTGCTAATGTATGCATCCACTGACCTCTCTTACGAAATTTGATGCAATCCCCGATTACGTCATCACAAGATGGCCGCCACCATGGATATAAGCACGCTGGATCCTGTTCCTGGCCAGTTTGACGACGCTGACGAACCTTCTGCCGACAGTTGTCCACCTAAAACAAGCTCTGCGACAATGGAAACGTTTCCAGGACAAATGGGCGAGCTTTCCGTGACAGACGACGGTCAGCAAAACGAGGAATGGGAGGAAAGCGATGAGGAGTATGCCGACTGGGATTGGGAAGACCACTCCGGGGATTTCACAAAAAGGTACAACGCCGCACAACACAACTCTGCACAGATGAACCCCAACAAGCCCAACCCAGGGAAAGTTTCCTTTCAGCCAACAGACAAGGCCCTGACGAAATTCGCCAGCAAGATCACTGTTGAGAAATACTCCGGTCCCAAACTGCGCGGAGCAGCAGCGAGTGCTCTACTGGAGGGGGTTAGGAAGTCAGACTCTGATAGGTACAGGGTCAAAGACAGGCAAGACAGAGCGACAGTGGAGCAGGTGCTAGACCCTCGCACCAGAATGATCCTGTTCAAGATGTTGAACAGAGGCATCATCCAGCAAATCAACGGCTGTATCAGTACTGGGAAGGAGGCAAATGTTTACCACGCCACCAGCAAGGATGGAAGTGACAAGGCCATCAAGGTGTACAAAACGTCCATTTTGGTCTTCAAGGACAGAGACAGGTACGTCACGGGCGAGTTCCGGTTCCGGCATGGTTACTGCAAGCACAACCCTCGGAAGATGGTGAAGACGTGGGCAGAGAAGGAGATGAGGAATCTTACGAGGATGTACCAGGCAGACATCCCCTGTCCGGAACCTATCATCCTCAGAAGCCATGTGCTAGTCATGGGGTTCATAGGGAAGGATGGGTGGCCCGCTCCACTACTGAAGGACGTTCAGCTGTCCGTGAGTAAGGCACGCGAGTTGTACCTCCAGGTTATCCAGCTCATGAGGACCATGTTCCACGACTGTCGCTTGGTCCACGCCGATCTCAGCGAGTTCAACATGCTGTACCTCGACGGACAGGTGTTCATCATCGACGTGTCCCAGTCCGTTGAGCACGACCATCCGCATGCGCTCGAGTTCCTACGAAAGGACTGCACCAACATCAACGACTACTTCGTGAAGAACGGTGTCGCTGTGATGACAGTTAAAGAACTGTTCAACTTCGTGACAGACATCAACATTAACAGGGACAACATAGACGAGTATGTTGACAAGGCCATGGAGGTAGCCTCCAGACGGACTATTCAAGAAGTCAAGGAACAAGACAAGGTTGACGAGGAGGTCTTCAAGAAAGTGTTCATCCCGCGAACCTTGGAGGAGGTAGCAGACTTCGAGAGGGACATCAACGCAAAGCAGGGAGGAGATGAGTTAGAAATCCACTACCAAGCGCTGACTGGATTGAAGGATGACCTGACGGGACCCTTAACAAAACCTTCCCTCCTGGAGGAAGAAGAAGACCAGAATGAGGAGGACGGAGAGGACTCAGAAAACGGTAGCGGGTCAGAGTCGGAGGGTGAGAAGGATAAACCAGAGAACACACAGTACACCAGACAGAGGGGAGAGTCTCCAGACAGCAGGAGGGCACGGAAGAAGCTGGTGAAGGAGGAAAATCGAGAAAAGAGGAAGCAAAAGATGCCCAAACACATCAAGAAACGCAAAGAGAAAATTGCTAAGCAGAAGCACGGAAGGAACTGAATGTGATACTTTGTGTAATTTTAGATATATTTAGCATGTTGAAACTGAGCTAGGTTATGGTTTTATCTACATACCTGTCTGTTTAATAGTCTGTTTCATGTAGGTGTCCATTGAAGAAATTCTACAATCCATTCTCTTACTGAATTCATGAAGTTCACATGGAGGAAGTATATGATACCTACAATGTTAAATTAACAATTATGTTTATAACAAGTTCAATCACACATTGATCTTCAGTTTTTGTAAGAAGGAAACCAGGAGAGGCAAAGGTCATATGTATTACAATATACATATCTACTACAAAATTTAAGCTATTGAAGTGTACATTGGAAAACAAAATGGTTAAAACAATTAATCTTGATTATGAATACACTTGCATACTTGGAAAATAAAGTATCCTTCCTCAATAATGCAGTCTTGTAATTTTGTATAGGGACTATCATGCTGTGCATCAAGGTTGGTCATGGGGGCTTTGTATAGGCAAATGCAGCCAGGAATTGCAAGATTGCTGTTCTTCAGCATCTCTAGATAAAAAAAACTGTTATCGTTTCACTATATGTTCAGTTGCTACAACCAGTCATTTGGCAGCATCGTAAAGTAAACCAATCAAATGCATTTGTTTCATGTTTTGGCTTACAAGTAAGGCAAACACCTTACATAATCTTGACTCGGAGCTTACATAGATCAAAGGCCGTCCAAAGGTTGATAGATGTTTGAGGCACACAGCTAGGTTAGAAAGATTGGGCTGTTTTATTGGCGACGCCTCAGGGGCGGAGGCATTTATATTGTATACGATGATTCACTGACAACACAGCAGTACAGTCTTGCAATTCAGTCTATAAAGGGGTCGACTAGGTTACCATATATATATTACACTTGGTGAATTCAACGTGTTTTTCACCATTGCCAAGAGCCTGCCATTGTACACACACACAAGACAGTTGGTCCTTATAAAAATAACAAAACCCATACTCATGTTCTTGCATGCATTTATTTCTGAGATAGATATCTAAAGATACAATCAGAAATCTGTATCTTACAGAGACATCTTTGTTATGCCGCTTGCCGGAAATTCGCGGACTTCAGCGATAAAAGAACATGATGACGGACTCAGTGACAAGCCGGTTTGAGCTCCAGCCATAACCGTTACCATAGCCATCCCAGTCCTTGGACGCGTAGTCACCGCACTGCCTAGGATTGCCTTCCGCCCAGTATCCACCCCCACCGATACACACGTGCTCCGAGTTGCCGCCGACGAAGTTGACACCTGGACAGACCGCATGGCAGGCAGTCTCGTGGTTGAACACCCGAAACTGCACGAAACCGGGGACAGCTTCTTGTCGTGAAATGACTTCCGGAGGCAACAGTGACTCGACAAAGCTATTGTTGCCCACTTCGTACACAATGGGGATGGCCGGACCATTGTCGTGGGTGAATGTGCCGAGATTGTGGCCAATGGGGAAGTGGTCTTTGAAGAGTGTGTACAGGTTGCCTCCAAAGTCCTCCAGGAATTCGGTGGAGGTGCGGTACCGTAGGTAGGCGGCGGTTTTGTAGTCCTTCGGTGGCACGTTGTTCGGGACGTGCCACAGCATGACGTTGGAGGCGCTGATGCTGAAGTAGCCTGGGTTCTTGTAGTCGTCGGTAGTGGCCGACCCCATGGAGCCGAAGGTGTGCACGTTGGCCCAGTTGCCGTCTCCGCCGGGATAGTTGTGGTTGTTCCCGCGGGTGCTGGACCAGCGATCCCCGGCCGTACACTTGCCGTACATGTCGTCCTCGTGCACGCTGGAGACCAGCGTCCAGCCGCCTCCGGCCGTGGTCATGTCGCAGTAGGTCTGGTAGATGGTTCCGCCCTTCCCGATGAGGAAGTAGGCTCCGTCCTGGCTGGAGGGGTTGTTCTGTTTGATCTGAAGGCATGAGAAGGCGGGGTTGAGCTCGCCACCCAGACTGTGGTCCACGTTAGTCTGGGTCTGAGTAGCCACGACGTTGGCTTCCATCTGGGAGAGACGAGCCTCGAGGCTCTCGACTGCCGCCTGGAAGAATCAGAGACATTGCACAAAGCATAAGTCACTATTTATATTTACCTTGAACATAACTTCATTTCAGAAACAATGCTGTCAAGAATCATTGTTACTCTTCCGAGCAACCTTCTTCCCTTTTCACCTCAGTGTTAGATTTTTCGGTTCCACCCATATTACTAGAAATTTCCTCCCACCATGTCCACTGTCTGCCGTGTACTCGGTGAAACGGTGGATAATTGCCTGTTCTATTTATAATCAGGCGTCTAGATGCAATCTAACAAAGTTCCATTGCGTCGGCACATACCCCGAGATATGCTAGTTCCTCCCGACAAGTGCAGTTTTGCGCTCTTACATCCCGCAAGCCGCACGCAAAGGCGACAACGGACCAAACAAGTAGGGCAGTCCTGATCATGGTGGCAGCTATGCACGGAACACGTTAAGTATGGAAACCTCTGTCCACACTGAGGCACAACGTGCCAGCACACTGTTTTATACACTAGTCGCCATCAAAAGATGACAAGATGTGTAAACCTTTGCTCTTATTGGCTGTTTTGTGACATCAGACCATAACAAGCTTTCAAAGTTCTTTCCTGGCGGTCGCAAACTTAAAAAAAAAACAATGATCTTATGTAATAGTCTTTCAGGGACAGTTTGAAAACTATGATGTATACATCCGTGAGTTTGGTACACTCTTTTATCCTAAATCGTACATGTGACAACACTAGTAAATGGAAAAGTTGTAAACATAACCTATCGGCCTACATTTTTATGTAATAGTACGTGAAAAGGCGTAAACATAATCTACCGGTCGATGTCTTATCTTTCGGTACAAAAAAAAAACTTTTAGATGAATTGTTGTCACCAGCGATCCTGCCATGAAAAGGACTGTGTTCCCGAATTTGTGCCGATCAAAAAAAAAAGCGATTTAACTATTATGCATCCAAGCAACAAGGCTTGTGTGCTGGAATCTGGATTTTATGCAGTTTAAAACCCTACATTATTTTACGCACTGTCGACACCCTTTCTGCGTGTGTTTATATAGCCTTTTATGTAACATGTATACGTATACAGGTTACCTAAGTCCGCGTATAGACACATTGGGATAAACAACTTCTTATATACACTTCAAAAGATGGGCTGACTAGAGTTTGTCCCTCTAGTCTTTTAGTCGTATCGAGGTGATGACACGTACGTAACTGCAATGTATCCAGAACTGCAACATTCCTTTAAACGTGATTCTCAATGATTGGCATATTAAAATTTATAAAAATCACAAAGACAAAGTCATTAACTGATACAGTTGTTTATTTCTACCGTCATTTATAATTGGAAACAGGTACATCGAAAGACACAAGTGGAAACCTGTAACTTAAAAGATATCTACTGATATCTTTCTGATAAATAACTAGAGTAAGATTTTTTTACTCTCATTGACGTGCTCATACCACGCTCATGACTTTGTCGTCAGATATTTCTTCAGCGGTAAAAGAACATGATGACGGACTCAGTGACAAGCTTGCTCGCGCTCCAGGCGACACCGGTGCCGTAGCCGCTGTAGTCCTTCCACAGGTAGTCGCCGCACTGAGACAGACCCTCTGCCCAGTACCCTCCTCCGCCGATGCACACTTGCTCTGCATTGCCGCCGACGTAGTTGACACCTGGACAAACCGCAGTGCAAGAACGAGTGTTGGTGAACACCCGAAACTGCACGAACCCTGGGACGGCTTCATGTCGTGAAACAACGTTCGGAGGCAAATGAGACTCCATTACAGTATCGTTACCCAGTTCGTACACAATGGGGATGGCTGGGCCGTTGTCGTGAGTGTACGTGCCCAAGCCGTAAGCGATGGGGAAGTAATCTTTGAAGAGCGAGTACAGGTTGCCTCCATAGTCCGCGAGGAAACCGGTGGAGGTGCGGTACCGTAGGTAGGCGGCGGTTTTGTAGTCCTTCGGCGGCACGTTGTTCGGGACGTGCCACAGCATGACGTTGGAGGCGCTGATGCTGAAGTAGCCTGGGTTCTTGTAGTCGTCGGTAGTGGCCGACCCCATGGAGCCGAAGGTGTGCACGTTGGCCCAGTTGCCGTCTCCCTCAGGGTAGTTGATGTTGTTCCCGCGAGTGCTGGTCCAGCGATCCCCGGCCGTACACTTGCCGTACATGTCGTCCTCGTGCACGCTGGAGACCAGCGTCCAGCCGCCTCCGGCCGTGGTCATGTCGCAGTAGGTCTGGTAGATGGTTCCACCCTTCCCGATGAGGAAGTAGGCTCCGTCCAGGCTGGAGGGGTTGTTCTGTTTGATGTGAAGGCAGGAGGAGGCGGGGTTGAGCTCGGTACCGAGACTGTGGTCCAGGCTAGCCAGGGTCTGAGTAGCCAAGACGGTGGCTTCCATCTGGGCCAGGCGATTCTCAAGGTGAGTGACCTGCATCTGTAAGGAATGGAGACAGACGAACTTTTAGTTCATGTGAAACGTCCACAGAGCTCGCAAGTTCCAGATACAGTTCATGAATTCTTATTAACGAGATACCCAATACTGTAGTACATACCTGCAGATCTCCACAGGAGCATTTTAACTTTCCTGAATCCCGGAAGATGTCATTCGGCAAGCCGCGCGCGACGGCAACGATGAACGAAACGAGTATGATGGTTCTCATCATGATGGGGGGGCTGTGAAGACCAAGTTCGAGATGTGAAGCACAGGAAACCTCAGTCCACACTGTAGCTATGTACTGCTAGGCACACTGTTTTATTCCTAAATTGTTAGATCAATGATAACGCCATTGGAAAGGTGTAAACATTAATCGATCTATTGGTTCAGTCGTGTGATCTTAACCACAACAGTCGGCATTTAAAAGCGCTTAATTGAACAAAACAACTTTTTAAAACACTTAAACATCGCGCAGTTTGTGACAGCTTCAAACACAGGACAGACACTCTCAAACAAAGGATTTCCATCACAGCAATGTCAACACCTTGGTCTGTGATGGAAAGTTTACTGGTCGGTCGACTTTAACTCGCGCATAACAATCTTCTCAATCGTTGGCCGAGCAACGTAAAGCCAGTTATTAGGTCTCAAAATTGAGCAGTATACATTGAATATCTCGAATATGCCTTCACATCTACGTATGCTGCTGCCAGCTGGCATTCAACCTAGTTATTTTCCCAAGAAACAACTAGGGGGACAGGGTGATGAGGGATAGGGGATAGGAGGATGGGGGTGATACTAGTAGTTGGATAGGGGGTAGGGAGATAGGGGATAGGAGGATAGGGGTAGGGGGATAGGGGTAGGGGAATAGGGGGCAGGGGAATAGGGGATAGAAGGATAGGGGTATAGGAGGATAGGGGGTAAGGAGATGGGGTGATAGACCAGGGGGATAGGGTGATAGGGGAATAGGGAACTGGGGGATTAAAGGTATGGGATAGGGTGATAGGAGGATAAGGGGATACGGGATAGGGGGTAGGCTGATAGGGGATAGGGGGATGTAACCAGGGCACAGCAAGCGTTTGCATCACGGGATCTACATCTTGATTTAATTCCAAGCAGCCGCTTTCATTACGCCACGAAGTTTGTTTTACCCGGACGTCATCTCCACTTGACTGTGTCACAGCGTGTGTGATTGGTGCGGCGTGGGTCAATGACCTCTCTTCGGTCATCGACCTGTCTTCAAGCATCAACACAAGACAGGGTGACGTCTACGTTCTCAAATATCACAAAACAAAGTTTTCTTGTTACTCCTTCTGTCAGAAGAAGGTCATATTTCTTCTAACGTTTCTGCTATAATGCTTAGTTGGAGTCCGCTATATTATGGAATAGACACAAGCACCAGCAATGCTATCCAAGCACGACTTACTGGCCTACATATAAAGTGGTTGACCTAAGTCAACATAAAAGCCAGTAACAATAGATACTGTTGACCAATATTAGCTTCTATAATGCAAGCCATACGACTACCATGACAACATGCTAAACGTTGTTCTCATTATACATTCACATCACGTCCTGCAGTAACCTGCAGGCAAGGTGCCCCGCTTGGGAGGACACCGCCCTCTTTGATTGACATTCGTACCAGTACACAGTACGCTAGGGTGGCTGGCGTAGCGTCGGGGGCGGTGGCCAACCGACCTAGAGCTAGACAAGACGCGTCGCTTTCGACTCAGGCACCGCCGGGTCTGAGAGCTTCGTCTGTCGGCCTCCTACGTACCCAGCTTAGATCTGGGTATATCGTCGACGATGGCGAGCGAAGAAGACATGACAAGCAGAGAGAGCCTCACAGGTAGGCTGGATTTTTCACACGCCAGTTCTTATACTCACGAACTCTGACATTTAAAGGGACTGGTTGGGTCACTCTGTAGTACCCGATGCGGTGTTTACCGACCCCTTATGCCATGTGTATATAGTGTGTATAGGCTGTTTTGGTCGTGTTGTTGTAAATACGATCTTGTGCATTGAAGTGTTCTGGGTATTGTCGTGTTACTGATGTCTAAATGCAGTGTATTTCGTGAAAAAAAAAACAAGCAAACAAACAAACAAACAGAACGAAGGGAGGACTAATTAATTGTTGTCACCTGGGGCATAATTTTCGTGGCAATTTCTCTTGTCGATACACGTTTGTTGTCTTCGGTCCAATCTACAGTTTTTTTTACATAGTAGATGAATGCTATCAAACAATACATGTGTAACAATGCCAAGGTAGGGCAATAACCTGTCAAATATAGTGAAGATTTGTTGTGGACCAGATACGTTTTGGACCGAAGCCATTTTATGTCAACCGCGTCCAAGACGCGCCCCACAGGGTGACATCACGCTTGACAAGCTGACAGCATGGATAAGCGTGGTTTACCTAGCGCTAGCCCTACACTCACACGGCCCATATTTAAATATTGGGATAATTGTCGATGACTGTGGCAATGTCTTATAATTAGTGTATTTAGTTTGGTTGCTCTCCCTAGGTACACCATCTTCGCTGAATAAATGAAAGATGCAGACACCCAAACGTTTCTTAGTCTCCATATAGCAATATTCTGATAATTACGGAGATGATATATCCAGTATCATATACAACATGATATTAGGTACGCATTTAACAGCATTGATGTCATCAGATGGTATATGTTATCAGATGGTACATGTACGTTCGCGTTATATGTCTCCTTCACAACGCCGATGGGTAAATACCGATGCACTGGAGTACTCACTACTGTTTGTCTACTCTCCTGGCAGATGTTTGGGTTTGGGCTTGTTTTTGGCGTGTTTTTAGGCTTTCGGGGTTTCTTTTTTTGCGCTGGAATTTTTTTCTACATTGGGTTGGCGTAACAAAATCCAGTGCAAAAAAAGAAACCCATATAAAAAGCCTAAAAACAAGCCAAAACCCAAACCTCTGCTTGGAGAGCACCCATTGGCAGACACAGACAGGAAAACAAATCCGTCTGACCCACATTCTCCTCCTGTCTGCTTCTCCAGGTCATTGCCCCCTTGCTATTTTAAACACAAGCACGTTTCCAACACGGCTGTGACCTACAAACGCTATCATACAGCACTCCATATATATATATCCTCCCTTATGTTCAAGTCACGGCGAGGAAAAGTTATAATATACATTTGTTTTGTTGCTTTACGGTCTGCTTCTCCAGGACATTGCCCTCTGCCATTAGGCCACAGCAAGTAATATTTATGGATGACATCAGCGCGCGCATTAATTTTCGCCTGATTTTGGAAAAAAAAAAAAAAGGAATTCTGTTGCCTTCTGACAGTGTACAATATGCCTGTCTGTTGCCATGCCGGAAGGTGGATGGCAGATAATGAAGATTTGAAGACAGGAGACAAGCAGAGGCTCCGATTTAATGTTTTGTTTCTTACTTTGATGCAGTGACATGTGATGTTGGCTGTGTATATGTGATGTTCCCACTGAATCAAAACCATTTGTACAATGATTGAGTCAAAATTTAAAAATGTAGGAACCTTGTTTTTTTCGGCCCGCCTTGTTTTTTACGTCCGCTCGCATTAGATTTGGAGTCTGCGGAGGATGTCATCCATAAAATTTACTTGCTGTGGCCTTATAAACACAAGCACGTTTCCAGCACGGCTGTGACCTACATACGCTAAAGCGCGCCAGTATATCTCTCCGCTCTTATGTTGAAGTCACGGCGAGGAAAAGTTATACACTTGTTTTGTTGTTTCACGTTCCGCTTTTAGCCCATTCTAAACAATCCGCACCTACTTTGCATGTAGGTCATTTTAAAGTGGGCGTTGTCCGCCAGAGGTGTATTTTTAAAGAGCGGGAAGGATATATAGTTTCACCGTAAACCGATCCTTTTGGATGGATAACAAACACCTATCTTGTCTTGCGAACCTATACTGGGTGATTTCTTTCTTTATTTCTTTATTTGAATTTACCACAAGCAAAAACAAGTGGAAGGGAGGACAAAACAGGTGTATCAACGCCTTTACAAGTTGTCCTCCCAAACCTGAAATGATAATACAAAGCAATACGAAACCAAGTCAAACAATAAACATTAGACATCAAAAATCAGTAGACATGAAATATACAATTCGGTAAAAATTATACACAGAATTAATTATGTACAAAAATTATCAAATATCATTATGTACAGAGTAAAAAGCTAATTATGATACTAATGCGGCCTTAAAGCAGTGCATGAGGCACTGCAATTGCAGATGAACTGCAATGCAATGGCTGATGATTATGTCGTGCATATAAACGTATGACATTTAGAACTTGACATGTATTGTATGCAAATCATATATTATTCATGCAGTCCTTATGACGATTACGTGCTCAAGTTGTTCTGTCTCGCGACGGGATATTGACTTTTCACTTGTGAGGAAATATATGATGCACCGTAATATATGCTCAGGTGTTGTTTTGCATAGACATTATGGAGTAATGCTGATACACGGCTCTATGTCATCTATCTGTTAACAAGTGTAAATGTTTATCCATAGAAAATTTAGAGACCCTACACAATTTGTTCATTCAGATGACTGCAAATCAATTAAAGAGATTTTTTCACATGAAAGGGACATATATACATTCACTGAGTCCATAAAACACTGTTTTCGAATCATTATGCGAATCATTCGAATACTGCATACGAATCATTATGATAAACAAAAGCGATCGCGCGCTCAAGTAATTCAACGTGTTAGTATACTTCTATCATATTTTAAAGGGACTAAGTCATCATTACAAAAAGTTAGGTGAGCTCAGAAGCCTTTTTCTTCCCGATTTCAGAGGACCTTTTCTTCATGAGGCCCTCGCCCAGACCTTCTATCCACCGCAAGGGTTTCACTACCACCACGTACTCCTCCTCCACGTCTGTCAAGTCGTCATATTCATCTTTTTCGTCGTCTTCATCATCTACGGAGACGAAGTACCAGCCAAGTTTGGTCAGGACAACATCAACTAGTAAGACAATATAATCCCAAGATCTATTTTTTAATCAAAGTTGATGTCTACCATAGACAAATTTTGTCTATGGTAAACATCAACATATGATTTAGCATGTAAGAAGAAGATTATTATTTTTCTCCAATAAATGCATCACATTTTTTGGTCACAGAAGGTTCTATCTATTGAAACAATAAACAGAAAAGAGATCAATGTATGTGTGTATTCTATGATGCATGCATAGAAATACATATTGAATGTATCGGAAGTATTGTTTTGGGTGGCTCGGCTGTTGGTTTGTGTGTGTGTCTGTTCGAACAGAGCAGGTTGACAGCACTTGGGGAGGAAGATTGACAGGCAGAATTACCACAGGCAGGTCTAGGGTCACAGGAAATGGCTCTGGCCGTGAGCTAGCACGGAAGCCGTGGATTGCATGAAGGACCCTTCAATACTTCCCAGACGTCTGAACTCTGAAGTCTCCTCTTTCTTGTCCCTGTAGGTTCCAGTACGTACTCCAGTGACGAAAGTCCGGCCAGCTCCCCCGGACCGGAGACTGGAACTGCCGAGTTCCTTTCGCCGAGAAGCTGGTTCTACACATCGGCGAAGACATCCGACTACGGCCACCAGTCGGCAGCACTGACGACCGGCGAAACGTCAGGTTCTGCTCGCCAGTCATCAGCGATGGCGACAGAGAAGTCCTCCAACAGGAGGGACTTTTCTCCCGTGCGGGGTTGGACGGAAGGTTGGATGAAGGTCCTGCCGGCGTATGGTCAGGACACAGCTGCGGCAGGCATCGGGGAAAGCTACCTATGGTCCAGGATAGGCCGCGGAGGTCTGCTGTCTGCACTGGGCAACTGGAGGGTGTGGGGCAACAAGGATGAACTACCCAACGGTGGTGACAGGGCTACTTCAACTTCAACCTCCACAGGTACTGTTTGACAATGTTTAACTTTTTCATCATCACACTTTTATTTCAAGCCCAGAGCAGCGGCCAGATTAGTAGATACTAGACATGCTCTTTTTTTTTTTATTCCAACATGTAATCACCAGACGTGGTGACGACACACTCAAGTTTTTTTCAACTTATACTAGTAATGCCGCCACCAACATAGGGGACAAATACATGACAGGACAATACTCATTTACACCTGAGCTAAGTGAGGAAAGTCGTGTAAAGTGCCTTTCCCAAGGGCACAAGATCGGTGGCATGTCAGGACTCGAACCCGGGACTCTCAGTTCCGAGTCGCGCACTCTGCCGCTACGCCACACGACCTCACTAGACATGCTCTGCTCTGCCCTTTTATGGTTAAGTGCTCAAAATCCTACAATCAAATTGGTGAGGGTTAAGAATGATTTGACACACTCATGCGAATACTACTTGAAACGGGATAAGGGAGAAGAAAATAATTCTGACCAAACCCTGCCACCGCCCATTTTCCCACTTTTATATACAAAGCATCATCGAACACCTCAACAGTGAGCAGGGGTTCATCCCTTCATGGTGGCACACACCGCTGGTCAGAAGGGTGGATGAAACGCCAGCGTGTAGAAAACAGACATGTTTCTGCATCAACAGGTATATTTTGGCCGATAAACCAATATTGGTGATGGTTGCGGTCTCTTACAAGTCAAGTCAAGTCAAGTCAAGTCAATCTTTATTGCACAACAATTTTAACGGGTACAATGCATGGCAAACTCTTCAGTACTACATATCTAGCTAGCATCTACTCTCACGTCTACAGTATTACCTACAAGTTCTAAGTATCGAAAATAACAACAATAGTTATGTATCGATAATAACATTTCAAAAGTTAATATAGTACATGTATATATATGGAACATGGCTGACATGACTGTCTTACATGGCTGTCGTCTGACGCAAGAATGCAACAGTACGTCACGGTGAAATGAGAGTGAATGGTGGGAAGGGGGGTGCCTGTTAATTGCTTGCATTAGTTTCGTTGGAGTTTGACTTAATGTCATTGCCTGCTATGCCATTCAACCTGTGCTTGGATAAAATATATCTGATATAACATGTCAGCATCTATAACGTGTTGTACATACTAATAAGCAATTAAAATGTCTATCCCTTGCTTAAAACAAAGGAAAGACGGTGGCCTCCTTTATGTCGAGCATAAAAAAGCAGAAAACGTCCATTGTCGGTCCAGATGGAGGATATGTGAAGGATAGCGGGTCCTTTTACTCTAGGCCATGGTCTGCTGGATGGATGAAACAAAATTTAGGCTATGATTCACCAGGTATAGTTGTAATGTGGTGTCTTGTTATACCCCAAAGGTGGCCGCCTACACCAGGCTTTAGGTGGAAGCTTTCTCGGTTGTAGATGCTGGTAGGAATAAGGACTTAAGGTCGCGATAAAACGGGACCCCCCCCCCGCTCACCGTTGTCTTTTCTAGATTTAATACATGTGATGCACATAGTACCAAGGAAGAGGTCCGGATGGATATGGACAAATACATACATATGTAAAAAAAAACGTTGAAAGGAAACGATAGTTTTCATGATTATTACCCACCCAGTATCACGTACCTCTAACTATTTACTCATTGGTTCCCTTTGCAGAGAAACAAGCCAAAATGGAGACGTCCAGTGAAACAGTGGTGAAGACAGCTGTCAGCCAAACGTCATCTTCGGCTGTCATCACATCACAAAGTGCCGACAGTGCCATGTCTGGTGACCAGTATGACGACGTAGCCCCGGGGAAAGGCTTTGCAGAGTCAGAAGATCATCTTCAGGTATGTGCTTCTCTGTGAAATACATCTACATGTTTCTACAAAAACAAATAGGCAATGTAAGCAAGTATTCTTTGCAAGTACGTCTATTCGAGTATGTGCATGATTGTTGTGAACATCACGGGTACCTGCTGCCTTTCTTTACAGTGCAAGGCGCTTTTACTTTACTTAGTTTATTGAAATTACAAGCTGAGCGGCTTAGCAGGCGTAGTCAAAAGTGAAATATTTGGATTCCTATTACGCTAGGTATAACAATACTGAGCAAATTGAATCGTATATTCTGCACAGGAGGGAGAAGATGAAGTCAAACAGATGGGCGTAACTGTCCAAACATGGAATCAGACCACAAGTACTCAGAACACAGATACCATGGAACAAAGGTCCGGCCAGTCGGTAACACAGCACCGTGAGGTGGGCGAAAATGTCATTCTGGCAGCTTCAGGCAAGGATACAACAACAACCGCGACAGGGGGAGACACTTTGAGCGTCTCTGTGAACCTTGTTGGCGAACAGGGTGAAGAGGAAGTAGAAGGGGAGCAAAAAGACGAAGGATACAAAACTGAAGAAGAATTAGAAGAGAAGATGGTGGTAAGGGAGGATGGAGTTGAGGTTACTGAAGAGATGCAAGCAAATGTTACTGACGAAAGTACAACGGTGACCAGTGTGGAAACGTCAGAAACGACAGACGTTTCTATGACCATTATCAGTGAAAGTCTGGAGCAGGACAAGCAAATCAAGACCACGTATCTTGAAGAGGAAATTGGAGAAAAAGTGGAGGAAGACTATGAAGAGGGAGTAATGAGCCAGGTGACTCTCGAAACGATGCAGAAAGAAGAAACAGTGGCTGATGAGCTCGTAGACGTCTCCCAGACCTCCGTCAGTGAGAGTTTTGACCACACCGTGCAAGCCATGGTCATAACTATTGAAAAGGAGAAGACAGGTTGTGAAGAGGCGGAGGAAGGTCATGATGAAGAAGCAGGAGTAGGTCGGGAAGTGACTGTCGCAGAACAAGAAGACACTGCGGAGGATGGGCTGGCAGAAGGGGTGATGACAGTGATATCTACTGAAAGCACCACTACCATCCTCACGGAAAATCATGCTTCACAGGACACTAATGTGTCTGTTATCTCAACCATGAGCGGTGTGAGTGATGAACAGGAGAAGGAGGCGTACAGTACAGCTGAAGAACAACAACACGGAGATGAAATCTCAAAAGAGATAAACTTAGAAGAAGGTGACACAGTACAAGAAGTAGAAGTAGAAGAGACGGACGAAATCATTAATGAAGCCGCAAGAAAGAGGAGGAGAACCTACAGTGGGGGCCTCATGTCATATATCCTTCCTGACGAGGAGGAAGAAGAAATGGAAGTGGAGACTAGTAGCGAGGAAGAATCCACGGAGACGAGTGAGGAGTCAAGCATGGAGACGACTACTGGTCAAACCGAAACCATCATTGCTAGGGTGCAAGAGGCTTCGTCAGAGAGCATGGAAGTAGAAATATCGACTCAAGGCGACGCCGAGTCATCCCAGACTGGTCAAGGCGAAACGATCATTGCTAGGGTACAAGAAGCTTCCCCAAAGAGTATGGAAGTGGAAATGTCATCCCAGACTGTGACTAGTGAGATGATAGTGATAACCAGCACTGTGCAAGAAAATGGAGAGGTACAAGAAGATGTGATCGCAACCTCCTCAGATGTGGAGATCGTGGGGGAAGCATCTCAAGTTCTTACCTCAGCCAAGGAAGAGTATGTGACGACAGAAGCTAGCGAAGCGACAAACGAGGTAACCGACTTTAAGGAAGCTGAGGAAACACTCGATGAAACGGCTGCAGTTGGTGGATCTGTCGTCACTGGGTCAAGCACAGTTGAGACAACAGGTGCAAGTACTCATACAAAAGTCGTAGAGTCTGCAACGGTGACTTCAGAGGATATCATTGATGAGTCACAAGAGCAACAAAGCACCAAAACGATTAGGCGAGCGAGGGCCACGACTAGCCGCAGATCATACTTTTTGCGCTCGAAGCTGACCCCCAGAGAGGCTAAATTGCGCGCGAGCAAGGCACTTGAACCTGTAACAACTGGACAAGGAGGCAAGAAAGGTGAGGAAACAAATACTCGGAAAAGACAACGAGTACAAGAAGATTCAAACAGCACAACGTCGGCAGAGCATAAAAAGCAGAAAACCGTGATCGAGAAGGCATCAGGAGCTTCAGTAGCAACAGATGTTTCATTGGTTCTCACCAGGGTTGATGAACATTCTGATGAGAAAAATGGTCTACATGGCGATGTAAATGCTGTATCAGAAACAATGGAGGGGACTGTGACTGTGTCTGAAACAGACCCACAAGATGAGCAAGAAAACGACGAAGAAGAGAAAGACGAAAGTGCGTCGGCGTCGTCAGAGGTTCAGACACTAACAGATTTAGAGGTCACAAATGTCACAGAAAATGCAAAAGAGACTGTGACGGATAAGAGCGTCACTGTCGTTTCTGCCCGAGTAATTGCAGAAACACCCAGCAAAGCCGACTACTGGTTCAGGTCTCGTCGTAAGAGGCGTCTGTTTGACGCAGACGATGGCTACACTATAAGCCACACGTCCGCAGCCCAAAAGCACTCCATGCGAGAAGAACACAAGAAATCTTCAAAGTCTGTAGAAGAAACAGATGACCTCTCTCTAAAGAAAGCTGAACAACGCAAGAAGGAAGTCAAATCCTCGGAAAAGCGAACGAAGGGAAGGCCAAGGAAGAAACGTCGGTCATCGGTAAAAGAGGTTGATGAAGACAACAAAGAAGACGTTCTTGCACTTGATGAGGCTTCAACAGTCGTAACAGCTGCTGTCACGGAAAGCAAAGCACAGGATGAGGTTCAGAAAGATACACCTGTCAACAAATCAAATGAAAAGATGGCCACCAAAAGCAAGACTGCAAAGAAGACCGAAGGTGCAAGTAAAGATGTTGATGGGCAAAAGAGGGCATACTGGTTGAGGGGACGGAAAGCTGCCCGCGAACCAAAGGCTGTTGTGCCGCCAGCAGGCCATGCAGACAGCATGGAAACTGTCACCGAGGCACGACAAAACAACACTGGGGGTTCGTTGAAAAAGAAGCAGTACTTTATACTGGCATCAACCAAGTCTTTTACCTCCAGGAGCGTGACTACCACTGCCACAGGTATAGAGAAGACAATCATTGCAGATACCAGCACTGGACATGACGCCGAACAGGATATCCAGAAACAAGTTGAAACATCCACTGCAGTAATTGAAAATCAAGAAGAATGCGCCACCAAGAAAGAAGACGAACTTTCAGCCGGCATATCAGTGGAAAGTCAAGCCGTTACAATGATTGAAGAGGCTGTCGGTGACGAGAAAGAAGATATGCAAACAAAGACCTCTCTGGAGACAATCGATGAGGAAGTTGAAGTTCAAGTGGAGGTGTCTACAGTAACCACGGAGGAAGGTCATACCGAAGATGAGCAAACATCTGTGGCAGAAGTGCAAGAAGAACAAGAGGAGATAGTGGAAGGGGAGGCGGGAGAAGACGACAAAGAAACAGAAGTAAAGGGACAGGAAGAAAACGCAGAAGAGGATGAAGAAGAGGTAGTAGAAGAGGAGGAAGACGATCAAGTACTACAAGAAGTAGTGGTTGAGGGAGTACGAGAGAGAACGGAACAAGACCAAATCGAAAAACAAGAAGAAGCAGAAGTTGAAGAAAAAGAATCAACAGAAGAAGAAGGTGAAGGTAAAGAACAAACACGTCGACAAGGACGCCGAGGGAACTACAGCCTGCGGTCAAGAACAGTTTATTATGGAAGTGGACCAAGTGCACGCGCTGGCTTTCTGGCTGCCATTGCAACAACTTCCTTGTCTTTGTCATCATCAACAACTCATGTCCATGAAGATGACCCGCAGGAAGACACAGACAAGGTCGATGACGGAGACGTAATGGAACAAGAGCAAGATGAAAGTCATTATGAAGAACCAAAAGACAAGGAGAATGAGGAGGAAAGACGAGAACAGCAGCAAGTAGAAGAATTAGCAGAAGATAAAGAAGCGAGAGACTTGAGCGAAAGGGCTGAAGAATCAGGAAAGGCTGATGAAGAAGACGCAATGTGGCAGCAAGAACAAGACGAAAGACAGGAAGAAGAACTAAAAGATGAGGAAAAGAGGGAAGAAGAGGAACAGCAAGTTGAAAAAGAACAAACACCAGCTGTAGAGGAAGAAGAGACAAAAGTCGAGATTCAAGATCAAGACGCAAGCCAGGAAAACGAAGAAGCAGAAGAGGAGTTAACGGAAAGGATAGACGAGGAGGAAGGGGAGCAGGAAATACAGCTTAACAAGCAAGATGAAGAAGTAGAAGCATTAGCGGAAGAAGAAACACAGAAGGAGGCAGACGAGGAGAAGGCAGGTCAACTTGAAGTAGAACATATGCAGGTACCGGCTGAAGAAGCAGCAGTAGTAGAAATGGAAGTAACAGGACAAGACGAATGCGAGGAAGAAGAGCTAAAGGATAAGGAAAAGACGGAGGGCGTTGAGGAGGAAATACAACTTGAAAAAGAGCAAACACCAGCCGTAGAAGAAGAAGCAGTAGCAGAGATACAAGGAGAAGATCAAGACGTAGGCCAGGAAAAAGAAGAATCAGGAGAGGAAGAAAACGAAGCAATAGAAGAAGAGGAGGGGGAAGAGGAAGACGAAGGTGAAGGTGAAGAATCGGAACAAAAGCATGCTGAAACACGAAGACAAGGGCGTCGAGGAAATTATTGGCTGCGGTCGAAAACAGTCTACTACGGCAGTGGGCCAAGTGCACGAAGTGGCTTTCTTACTGCCATCGCCACTACTGCCATGTCAAGTGGAGCAAAAGACAGCAGTAAGAGAACCACAATGACATCAATCGAGGAAGTGGCAACAACTCAGATTATTGAGGGTGACTTGGGTGACGAATCAGAAGAGATGGATGAAGATGCAATGGGACAAGAACAGGACAAGAACCAGGGAGACAAACCATCAGATGAAGTGGTAGACGCAGATGAGGAAGACGAGGAAGAGAAGGAGGAAGGATCGGTAAGAATGGACAGAGGGGAAGCTGAAATTGAAGAAGACGCAAGACAGGAAGAGGAAGGGGTGAAGGAAATACAGCTTAGCGAGCAAGTACCAGCTGAAGAAGAAGCAGTAGTAGTAGTAGAAGTAAAAGTAGCAGAACAAGACGAAAGACAGGAAGAAGAACCAAAGGATGAGGAAAAGGCGGCGGAAGTTGAGGAAATACAAGTTGAAAAAGAGCAAACACCAGCAGTAGAAAAAGAAGAAGCAGAAATACAAGGAGAAGATCAACAAACAGAGGAACGGGAAGAATCAGAAGGGGAAGAGGAAACGGAAACGATAGAAGGGGGTGTGGTGGAAGAAGTCGAAGATGACGGAACAGAACAAAAGCGAGATAAAACACGTAGACATGGGCGCCGAGGGAATTATTGGCTGCGATCGAAAACAGTCTACTACGGCAGTGGGCCAAGTGCACGAAGTGGCTTTCTTACTGCCATCGCCACTACTGCAATGTCTAGTGGTGCAAAAGACAGTAGTAAGAGAACCGCAATGACATCCATCGAGGAAACGGCAACAACTCAGATTATTGAGGATGACTTGGACGACAAATCAGAAGAGTTGGATGAAGAAGTCATGGGACAGGAACAGGACGAAAACCAGAGGGACAAACCATCCGAAGAAGTGATGGAAGCAGATGAGGAAAAGAAGGAGGAAGAAGAGGAGGAAATACAAGTTGAAAAAGAGCAAACATCAGTAATAGAAGAAGATGAAGTAAAGGACCAAGGACAAGATCAGGACACTAGCCAGAAAAAAGACGACTCGGAAGAGAAGGAAAAAGAGGAGATAGAAGAGGAGGAGGGGGGAGAAGACGAGGAGGAGGAGGACGAATTAGAAGAAGGGGAGGAAGAGGTAATGGGGCTAGGAAAGGAGGAAAACCAGGAAAAGAAATCATCAGAAATCATCAAAGAAGCAGATGAGGAAGACGAAGAGGAGGAGGAAGAATCGGTAAATATGGATAGAGAAGAAGACGAAAGACAGGAAGAGGAAGGGGAGAAGGAAATACAGCTTAACGAGCAAGTATCAGATGAAGACGTAGTAGAAATAGAAGTAGCAGGACAAGACAAGAAAGAGGAGCCAGATGAGGAGGAGGCACAAGCTGTAGAGGAGGAAGGTGAAGACGAAGGAGAAAAGTATGAAGGTCGAAAAGAAGTTAGCAGAAGTGCAGGACGTCGAGGGAACTATAACTTACGGTCAAGGGCAGTCTACTATGGCAGTGGACCAAGTGTGCGTGGCGGCTTCCTTGCTGCCATCGCCTGTACTTCCATGTCTAGTGGTAAATCTCAAACCAAGACAGCCGGCGCAGAATTTAAAGGCAGAGTTCAAGGAGACTTGGGGCAAATAAGAAAGAAAACAACAGAAGAAACGACAACACTGAGTGATGAGGATGACTTGGAAGACGAGTCAGGAATCGTAGATCATGATGGTGAAGTTGAACGTGTTGGAAACATCACTGTAGTCTCAGAGCCACATGAGACTGAACTTCAAACAACGACGACATACTTTATCACTAAGATAACCGAAGGAGAAAAGATGTCGGTGGATGTGGACACTGACACCACGTCCCTGACAAGAACGACAGTTTCAACCGTAACCACAACTACTGAAACTTCGACAGATGACAACACGATGTTACAAGACGTTACGTCTACAGCAGGAGGACAGACCGTCATCATCAGTGAGGTCTCTGAAGAACATGCTGACTCTATGATTTCCGGTGCAGCTGCAGTTGTCACTCACGACAAAAGTGAAAGTGACGGAGACGACAGTGACGATGAAGAGATTTCAGATGACGCTGGCGGTGAACAAGTTTCAGAAGATTCCATGGTGACAAACGTTACTAGTACCACCGAGACAGATGTCGCACCTATCGTGGAGATCGATACTACAGCATCAAGCGAAGAAACAGAACAGTCCCAAGAACCCATGGAAACAACGGAGACGATTGAGGAGAGTCTGATTGCCATGGCTGTCGAAGACGATCGTATGCAGAGAGAATCTGAGGCTAAGAAAGGACAGGTGACAATGGCAGAAGTAGAAAGCGACACAGAGCAAGAAGCTGAAACATCCGATAAAGTGACTGAGTCTGAAGAAGATACGATCGAAGAGGGAGAAACAGTGGCCAGGAGGAGAAAGGGCGGCTCCAGGGGAAACTACAGCCTACGTTCTAGGACGGTATACTACGGGAGTGGACCAAGCGCAAGAGGTGGTTTTAGAGCTGCCATGGCTGTCACGGCCATACGGGAAGCTGGAACCGACCGGTCCATAACGTCGAAAGCAAAGGCAGTACTTTTGAAGAAGGCCAAGAAAACAGATGTCAACCAAGCATCTTCAACATCGAGTGAGAATTCAGAGGACTCATATGTTGTAGACCAAGAAGCAGCTGTAATGGAGACTAGCAGTTTCGAAGAAGAAAGTTCTAAAGTTATCCAAGAGTCGTCGGTGGAAGATACCGTGACTGTTGAGAGCTTTGATGATCAGACTGTTGGGCAGCAGACAGACGGAACTTTGGCAGAGATGACTGAACACCAAGCCGCACTCAGTGCAGATTCTGAAGACACGTTGAATGAACAACAGGAATCTGAGGGCAAAGACGCAAACACCTCGGACACAGAGGTCGATACCGGCCTTGATGTCGAGCAAAAGACAGACCAAACTTCAGAAGATGATAGTAACGGCCAAGAAACCCTCCAAACATCAAAGGTTGCGGATGTTTCACAGGTCGAAGCAGTGGAGCTGCCGCCAGTCTCCACAAATGCATCTAAGAAACGCAAACTTGAAGAATCTTCTGTCGAAGAACGCCCCACCAAAGGAGAGAGGAGTCAGAAAGGCCCAAGAGGCAACTACAGTTTGAGGTCAAGGACAGTCTACTACGGCAGTGGACCAAGTGCACGTGGTGGCTTTCTTGCTGCTATCGCGACCGCCACAATGAGCAGCAAACAAGGCCAGTCTGTTACATCAAGATCGGCAAAGAAGTCATCAAGAGTTGTTAAGTCGGTAGACGATACAGGTGAAATTGAGCAGGCGGAAGAAGACAGTGTCATTACCATTCAAGATGACGAAATTGACGACTCGGACATAGTTCACAAGGCTGGGGTGGAAACTGTGGAGACTTCATCATCAACTAAATTTCAAGAAGGAGAAGAAGAAGCTGGAACAGTTTCCACCACGATTGTAGAGGGCATCACAGATGAAGACATTGAGGGAGTCTTGGAGGAGTTGTCAGAAAGTGCTGCAAGTGGGCAGATGTCACTTGAGGATGCTATGGCGGAGGCCGCATCACCCAAGGACATCCTGTCAGAAAACCAAGAAGAGAGCGGGAACGTCACTGAGGTTGAACAGAACACGGTCCACGCAGCACTTTCTGACAAGGAGGCTGTCTCAGCACCACCAAAGGAGGAGACAAGTACGTTGGAGACAGATGACATTGCCAAAGAAGAAAATGATGAGGAAATAAACATCATGTCATCCTCAACATCAAAACGGAGCAGGAAGAAGAGAAAGATCGATGACACCGAAACAGTTGAACTAAGCGAGGTAATTTCAACGGACGTTGAGGAACAGACAGCGAGCACAGCAGACGAAGAAGAATCTGGAGAGATGTCGATGAAGACCAACACTGCTGTGGAGTCCCGCGAATCGGGCGGTCGCTCGTATTGGCTGAGAAAACGAACGATCACGTATGAAACAAAAGCACCTGAAGTGTCAGTCATGGAGTCGTCTACGGTCTACGAAGCAGACAACAACAAGTCTAGCGAGGAGTCAAATAACAAGGCAACGAAACGAGCAGCAAAAGCCGCTCAAGTGGTACCGGTGGCATCCAAGAAGTCTAGAAAGGAAGCCACTGTGGTCCAGACAGAAGGAGAGAGTGGTTCACCATCTGCATCTATCGCAGGAATGTCTGACGTCCTGGAAGAATCCGTCACATCTGAAAGTCAGACTACAACGGAACATGCGATGTCGGGGACCACTTCCGTCAAGGTGACTTCATCTGAGGACAGCCTGAGGCAGAAAACCGGCACCATGGTCACAGAAGAGGGGGAAACAGCGATGCTAGTCTACGAGTCAGGAACAGCCTCTACTTCGACTGAAACGACAGTGGTGACCAACGTTGAGGTGCACTCAGAGGGAATCTGTGACGACACTGGGACTCCTGAGGAAGCGATGACAACCACAACAAAGACTACAACATCGACGACAGGCAGTCGGACCAAAAGAGGACCAAAAACGGTGACAAAATTATCCATTCTGGAGGAGCTTTCAGAAGGAAGTCAAGACGACCAACATGTAAGTACATGACCTGTATTACTATCATGAAAGTTCATCTGTGTTGGTAGTTACATGTTTAAAGTTAAAACCTGTATTACTATTAATTGGTGTGGCCTTTCCTAAAAATCCTAAGATGTCAAAGTTATGAGATCAATGTTAAGGAAATTATCAATGAACATTTGCTTGTCCTTGATTTCTAATTCACATTATAACAAATTCTGTCACTAATTAAGAACAGTATGTGGTAACTAACTTCAACCTCCACAATTTGATTCCCAAGGATGAGAAGACGAGAGAGGCCATCTCAGCATCTAGGACTGAAGAGGCCATGGTGTCATCAACAAGCACATCCACCGCAGACCAGGGGTGTGTTCATTTAGCTGTTACTACATATTCTGATTCTATATATTCTGATACAAGTTGCTAAAAAGTAAGGTCTTGTTTTGTGGTATTCATTGTATCTTTATTCCCATCTAGAGCAACGTCTGAATCTCTAATGTCGACTGGGAAGAGCAAGAAGTCGACCAGTAAGTCCCGGATAGTCAAAACTAATACAGTGACGACTACGGAGAGGAAGGTGACATCTGTGACTGTTTCAAGTTCACACACAACCTTCGTGAACAAGTCTTCCTCTTCAACAACCAACACCGTGAGCAGGGGCTCCTTGGGTGAGGTTTACTCCATGTCTCTTAGAAAATTGGGAGACAAAGGGAGACGTGTGTACACCTGGAACAGTTAAGTGACAAGAGCACGGAGACTAAGACCCTGTTCGGACGAAAGCGGTGGACTCGCATTGTATCCAGATTCCACCGAAGCAGGATTCATATGGCCCTATCTGAACGCTCCAAACTGCGTCCTTTCATCAAACATCAATGATTGTAGTTTAGGCGAATCGTGCTCGGGCACGAATCCGAAGGAACGTGTGGCGTGTAGATCAATTGTGAGGTGCGCCAAATTTACTCCCTTTCGTCTGAACAGGGTCAAACACTGCTACTCCTGATACGGGACCAATCATTTAGGTTTGAAATGTCCCAATAATAGTTGTGGGACCATTGGTTGATTTGTGTTACAAAATACCTACCTCCTTCTGTGTGTTACACGAGTTGATGAAAATGCACCCACTTCATAATAAGATTTTATCACTTACGTGATCCAGCATAGCAGTGGTGTGGTACAATATGGATATACAAGTATTGCCCAGATAATCTGAAATGATATACCCGGTAACGTTACTAGTATATGGGATAGTGGAGGTGGTATCATATCGATTAGGTCATACATGTACTGTTGGAAGAAACACAAATCTAAGGGCACTTGACATCAAAGTAGTGGAATATGATATCTTTACTAACCATAAGTTTAATATTGGTATTTTTTTTATTATCATTATAGACTAGCTAGATACAGGTACATGAATGTTTTGTAGTTGAATGTATGGTAGTGGAAGATTTGTTCTTCTAGAAAATTGTTTTCGGTGTGCGGTGGTGTGGCTTATATCACAACAGAAAGTACATGGAAAATTGTACGACATACTTTGCTTTAATTTGACGTGATACAAAAGTCAGTGACATGTATGACAAAAGACAGTACACAGGAAGTCTTACAAATTTAACAGCAGCAATTTACAAAAATATCTCCTTTAACATGGAGCTCCTCTCAACATGTAAACCGGTGCAATAGCTCAATTGGTAGAGTGCTCGCTTTGTAACCGGGAGGTCGTGAGTTCAAACCCCGGCCGGGTCATACCAAAGACTTTAAAAATGGTACACACTTCTTTCTCTGCTTAGCACTCAGCACATATGAGAAAAAGTGTGGGGAGGTCAAACACACAGGACTACCAGCGGACCAGCCCACTGCTGTAGTGCATTGCACAACTGTGTGTCGCCCAAGGGCTACAGAAATGGATATGGGCACCACCCTACGCTCTGCGTAAGAAGCATGGGAGACCTTTCCTTTCCTTTCCTCTCAACATGTGAGCTCCAAAAGGTCCTTTGTTGTAACACTACATTACAAGTGTGATGGTTGGACTGATTCTTGGTTATATGAATAAAAGGGAAATGTATGTAAAATCCTGTGGTTATCTTTACATTGTAAAAATGTTTCCTTATTGTAGTATGCACCACATTAATTTACTCATCTACAAGCTACAGATACATATAAGTATAACTGTCATAACATATATTCTTGCTGGTTTCCAACTTCAGATACAGCCGTGTTATATAAAGGTTGAATATGGGAGGGGGCATACATAATTGTCACCCTACATATATTGGAAAACCACACGACATAAAAAATAACGAAGATGCAGCATTTTTTCTCTAGCCAAAACCAGCTAGAAAATGTAGGTACTTGTGACACTTCAAATTTGTGTGCACCTGTGTCACAATGGTAAATCCAACAGTATAAGAGTCTTGTGGCATAAATGCTCGTATTTGCTTCTTGCTTCTGAGAGATTTTGCTGGATCTTATGCTGGCTTAGATGGATCCCTTACTGTAGTAAGCATAAAAAACAGAGGTCAAAGCCAGAGTGTACTCAACTCAGGTCGAAGTAATAATCAAGTCAGGCCCTTATGTTTCCCTAAGTCAGAGTGTATACAAAAGAGCCACCATATTTCTAAGAAGTACCATCATACTGCTTTAAGTAACACATACAAAATAATCAATACCTTTATTGCAATTGATTTCTATGCAATAAAATCTGCCCAACATAAGTAAAACATGTTACGTTGCTGTGCCCTGTAACTATCATACAAACTCACTTCACAGTTTTTTTTTGTTAGAAAGTACCGTAAGACAAGTAGAAAAGTGACAAGTACTTTTTTTTAGAAATACCAGTATTTGTAGATGACAAACATTCAAAATCGTATAAAAGTGTGGGCAGATTTAGTATCCTCCCATGCTATGAAGAAAGACACTTGTACTAAGTTTGCTCATGCTTCAATGGTTTATGGTGGGTTCATATTGGTAATACGAAAACTTGACAAAAAAATGTATCAATGCTGCAAGTAGGTTGCATTTCTACTCACTAGTTGTACCCTGTACAGTATATTTACACCTCCCTTCAACATTGGAGGAGCCCTCTTTGATATCAGAAATAAACCATCCTGGCATCACATTTACATGTATATTACTGCATTTCCCAGTCATTTTGTGGGAAGTTATATTTCAAGCAAGCATTACCTTTTGACACACTTACATGTAACTCCCAATCCCTTGACAAAAAAGCTTAATTTCTGTAATACTGCCTGTAATTGGTGCATAGCAGTTCAGAACCAATTCACATAAAATCGTCGAAATAAAACACACATGTTGCCCATTCTATGCTAATTTCAGTCAAAATGTCATGATTCCAGTGAAAAAAATGCTATGATATGCCTTTTGCAGATTCAAGGTAGAAAAGTGCAGTGATGTGCTATCTTATTCTGCCATGCTGTCCTCAGTTTTCTACTCAATCCAGTTTTGCATATGGTTTACAGCATTATCAAATTCACAAGCAAACATTCTAGTGCATAGAGAGAACAATGTACATGTACATTTTTGTACTATGGAAAAAAACAAAAGTAACACAAAATTTGTGTACAATAATGTTCCCATGAATGGATATGGAATGAGATCTCTATTTACTGGAATGGGCATCCATCTTTTATCAATTCCCCTAAACAGATAAAACAAGTTTTTTAAAAGTTCGTTAAGTATTACGATTGCACTAATAGTAAATACAAAGGTTCCTCTATGGCTGTTCACTTACTTTACATCATCCACACTCTTACTATACATATTACTTCTAGTAATTCAGCCAGCTAGAATGGTCATTGTACATGTAGTTACAAAACTTAGTAGACATCTACCGTTTACAGTATACATTTTCCACAACTAAAGACTTTATCTTTTACTAAAAGGGAGGCCAGGCAGGTTGAGAATGAATTGTAGACTTATTGGAGAAAAACAGTATTAGAAAGTTTTCATATATACAATTACACTTAATTAAAGTGCAGCATTTTGAAGATTTTGTACATTATTCCACAAGCCACTCTCTCACATGCTCCTGGTCCCTCCCTAGGCCCTGAAGAAAACTGGGTACTCTTCTGTAAAGTACCCCTAAGCCGGAATTGTGCAGTCACAGTGTCAAGTTTTAGTCAATCCTGTAACTTACAGTGTAAGTTTCTGTTATGTATATACATCTATCAATATGAATCCTGAAAGGGGGGTATATACATGTAGGAATACATGAAGGGCATTACACAAGGGACTCTTGCCAATTTCAATGTATTCATTTTACCATCAAATCAACATTTTTTTGCAGCCAAATTGCTTGCACTAAAAGAATTATAAAAAAGGAAAATCGTATTTGTGCCCCTAAGGATTCACACTGACACATGCAAAACCCACAACTGGCTTCATTACCATCTTTTGTCTTTCATACTTTACCACAGAATATAATCTCTTACACACAGTAAAAATGTCCCTCCCATACAGTCAGGCACCACAATACTGATCTCCTGTTCATAAGAAACTGTATGTACAGCTAGGCCTCTATGCTACAGTCGCTGTCGTCCTTGACTCTCCCGTTCGCCCCGTTGTTGTTGTTAAACGCTCGCTGCGGTCTCCTGACGTTCCAGTGGAGGCACTCTGCCAGGCTGTCGAACCAGTCGCTGATCTGATCCATCTTGCAAATTGACGGAATCGGAAACTCGGACGTGGTGATTCTTACGCTGTGAAACCAAAATCACAAAATGTTGAAGACATTGAATCTGTATCCGTATCTGTCTAACCACCCTTCAGCGTAACACACCAGAATTGACATGAACCAAGCTCCGTGAATAGTTTCATCAGGTTGGTAAGTCACTGAACAAAAAGACTCTTTTTTTTACGCAACCAAGTGTTTTATTTAGTTGACGTTTCACTGACCGTCTCCATTTCTGTAAATAGCAACATCTGTGCTGTGCAATGTGAACCAGTCAGACTTGCCCTGAGGAAGGTGAGAGACGGTCACCAAAATGTCAGCTGAACTTGGTTGCACAAAAAAGAGTTATCTTATTCATGAAAGTTCAACCAATTTCATTTTTGAAGCTCTAGATCAGTGTGAGTTTAAGCAGATCTTATCACAATAACAGAAATTACTATTGTGATGACAAAACAGTGGTTTCGGCCCACCTGTCTCCCACTTTGATCTCCTGTCTGTTTCTGCCGTCCAGGGAAACCCAGGCGGCACCTCTGGACTCAGGAGACACCATGACCTGGAGATGGAAAACATAACATTCCATGAGAACACACAAACTTGACATCTGACACAATGAACTTAGCATCCCAACAAAAAAAGGAGATGATTTAGAAGAAACCTGCTACAAACTATGGCCCCTGTAAATCCATGGACATTCAAGGAGTTGTGTTATGTACAGTGATGATACATCTGCCAATCAGCACTAGTCTTTCTGTCTGTACTCTGTACACCTGTAATCTATATCTTCATCTATCAATTGAATGAAGACCTTTATTGTACATTTGTGTTCTACAGAACTAAGTACAGGCCGCATGGGTACAGAACATGAACAAAAAACATATACATTACATACATATGAACATATAAGAGTGTAAATAAATGTCTAATTTCTATTCTTTTTGGCTTCATCTTGCTTAGTACTGATTGTATGGATATACAGTCAAACCTGTACTAGCGGTCACCTTTGTATAGTGGTCACTCGGCCATAGCGGTCAGTTTTTGCCGGTCCCTTGAATTTTTCCCATTGACGTAAGCATTAAGAATCGTGTCTATAGCGGTCACTGTTCAACGCGGTCAGCGGTCACCCCATTCCGGTCCCGCCGGCATGTCAACACCGCCGATAGCGGTCGCGGCTGGCCGTAACCCGCTAAGCACCACGGCCGTAACACCACCCCACCTCGGGCTACGACCGTTATGAGCCTTGTGATAATTTTCCGATCGCTACATTACTAAAATGTGAACTGAAAATTAGACTCCATATGTGTATGAAATAAAGGAAAACTGACTTTTGACACGAAGTGTCTGCGGTCGCGGGTGTCTTTGATATCTGCGTTTTCCCCAACACCAGTGCTGTGCGTGCCGCATGGAGCTTTCAATGGACTCGGCCGCTCGGCGAAGATTACGGCAAATTATCTTTACAAAAAAACTTAAGAATATCCATATTTGGTTTCTCGATTCCTTGAAATGCGTAGATATGTGCATAGCTTCCGTTTTTCATGGGCATAATTAAAGAAATTTGGCTCGAAAATGCGTTTCGTATTTTTCCAAGATGGCGCATGTGTTAGCTGCAGAGGGAGGTCAATTGGGGTCATCGGAAGACTCCACTGTTATGGAGGTAGATACACCGAGTTTTATTTAACTTCATTAGCGTCAAATGACGTAATTACATTATGAAAACATTTGAAATACATTACTACAATTAATTTTAGATGTAAATTTAACACTGTAGTGGATATTTTAAAAAAGATATAAGTCTGAAAGGAGAAAATTTTCTGTTGACTACCACATTGGCATAATGGTAGAGGCAGACAACCCACGCGGGGAGAAACCCAAGCCGTAAACAAAGGAGAGTTTTCGCTAAGTTTTCATGTTCAAAAACGACCAAAAACGGAAAGTAACTGGCAACTGACGAACAATTATTTTGCTGTTAACTAAATAGACAGCATCTTGGTACAAAATAACTTATTTACGTGGTTGGAATTCGCTGTGGCGTATGTCGGTCGCGCAAAGCAAGTGTTCACCAAAGAACAAAAACATGGCGATGTCGTTCTCTTCCACTTTTCGACTAACAACAACAACTACTAGTAACGTGGCGATTGCGGAGAAACGATGGCGAAAGCGGAAAGACGGACGCCAAACTTATTCCAAAAGGTGGAAGCTGAGCTTAGATTAAATGATTTTGCAGTCGATAGAAATTTGTTTGGAGTTGAAAGTTTGTTGCTTGATTTGCTTTCTTTTCTTTAGCCACATGTAGTACTAGTATGTAACGTTACACAAGAACAGTAAATGACAACCAGTGATTTTGTATGTTTTAAATTACGTATGTGAATGGTTTCATTGTCCCAGAATAGATTAACTGAATATGTTGAGTGTATGTATCTTTGATGTCAAGTTAATGTTTCCATGCAATATTTCTGTATTTCTTTTTTTTTCAAGCAAGTACAAAATAAAGTACAACTAAAGCAAAAGAACAACAAATTATTGAACTAACACATGTACATATAAAAGGGGTTTACCTTTGCAAATGTATGTATTCATATGTTTCAGAATAAAGACATCACTGTTGGTACTCAAAGCATGTGTCCCTTTTTTTTGGGGGGGGGGGTCAACTAACCGGCTGTTTCTCTATAGTGGTCACCTGGCCATAGTGGTCAAATTTGGCCAGTCCCTTGAGTGACCACTATAGGCAGGTTTGACTGTATGCGGCTGTGAGATTACTTAGAGTAGGTTTATCAAAAGTTAAAAGGAATACAAATTTCTCTTTACTAGTCAAATATCTGGAGTGGGGAAATATACTTAATACATGGCTAAAAATATGAGTCTATCTCTACTATACAAGGGGCAATCTATGGTGAAATGTATATCATCTTCTATTTGGCCTAAACTACAGAATCAATCTACCTGTCTTAATCAACCATGAGTTAAAACCATTGGTTTCATTCCTCACCTTAATCTCCACACCAGCGGGCACCACGATTGGTCTGAAGGAGAGGGAATGTGGACAGATGGGTGTGACCAGGATGGCCGGCACGTTGGGGTGAACCATGGACGCTCCCGCGGCCACAGCGTAGGCCGTGCTACCGGTGGGGGTGGACACTATCAGACCTGCATGTACCAATACAACAGGATCTTTTTACATTTGCTTCTAATAAACTTTTAAAGGTAAACATTTCCATGACTATATGAGTTATGATGGAAATAAAGATATCCCAATAAAGAGGAAAACATTATACATGTATTCTATTAATAAATAAATTATGACACGTTGGTGAAGGTTACACATCCAGGTAATAAGATACGCCAAAAACAGTTACTCAAGCAACTGGATACGATTTTGGAAAAAAACGTTTCAGGTAGCATCCACTACATTTTGTCAGTGACACTAGAGAGTTGTCAGAAAAGCAGGTTTATAATTAACATCTGTGTCCATAATATCACCAGGGTCCATAATATCACCACCTTGACAAATAGTGTGCTAAAAGATATTTTTACTGCAACATACCCTAGGTATGTACATTTGATGTGTGAAGGAGTGCATACCAAAAGTATGTTGCAGTAAAAATATCTTTAAGCACACTGTTAATCAAGGTGGCGATATTATGGACCCTGGTGATATTATGGACACAGATGTTATCCGCTATTGATTGATATGCACATACATTTGTAAGTGAAGACAAATTTTTTGAAAGTCGAAAAGGAAACAAATGTTAGACAAGTCAAGACAAGGATGATGTAAATTAGTCAAATGCAATGTGTATGACATTCAAACTGCAAGAAGCAAATATGGCCAAAATTTCGAAATGATACTCTCTTTATATCCAACTTACCGTCACCCTGCACTGATGTGACATGCCTCCCTTCCACATACAGGTCCAGGTGGCACAGGTAGGGGGAGGGGCCTCTGTCGATCACTACTTCATTTAGCACCTGGATTTTCTTTGGTTTCTCTATACTGTTGATGTGGGAGTCACATTCAGCATCTGTTATAACAGTCTTCAACCTACTCCTCAGGGTTAGAGCTGCGTGACCTGTAAGAGACAAAGAAGAGTTGTTCAAAACTTCTAGGACTAAAAAACTAAACTAACCATCTTACACCTAAAACATATACGGTAAGAATATGATAATATCATTGTCAAAAGAGTGGCCATCACTCCTGATTTTGTTTGTCTCTTTTTAACTCATTCATGTATTAGGTCTTGAAAAAAATTTCCTTACAATAAGACTTTTACACTAAGCCTCTAGTGACAAGTATGTCCTTCAAACAAGTTTTCTTAACATGATTCAAATCTGACTTACCTTCTAGAACATGGTTGACCTGTGATTTAAAGTTGTCAAACTCGAAAGGTGTGAGAAAGCCCAGGGAACCCATGTGGAATGCCATCACAGGAGGAACACTGCCCTGTTGAGAGATAGACAATAGCATACGTGAAAAAACTTTCAAACTGCACAGTACCTTAAACCCAAATCTGACTTCGTAAGAATTACTAGTATATCTGGTTCAGAACTGTAGATATAAAATACAACATGGTGTATTCTGCATCACTGGGAGGGCTGGGACTGTCTTGTATTTTAACTATGTCATACCCACCAAAGAAAAGATGCATTTCAATGCAAAATGTGTCAAAATTGGGTGTCCATAAACCAAAAATTGTCACAATTCCAACATCTGAATCCAGTAGTTGAATTTTCTAAAGTTGCACACTTGGCGCATGTGAAACGCATTTGAATCATTCTATGGAACATTTGGAAGCCAGGGTGATAACCAAATAGAACCCTCTGTGATACAGCTAGGACACCCGTATCAAATGTCACCACAGCCCAAGTATGACATATGTTCTTTCACAATGGTTTAGGACAGTTAACATTGTCATTGTAATGACTGACCTGGAACAGTGAAGAGGCCCACAGGAGTGTGCCATCTCCTCCCAGACAAATGATGAAGTCTATTCTACCAGACAGGTCCTCAGTACCTGGAGTTTGGGGGGGAGGGGGGCATTCATAAGGAAAATGATTTACCTATATGTAAAGGCATTGTCATCAGCATGTTATTCAATAATTGAGTCAATTAATATAGCAATCACAACTGACTGTCTATAATACATAAGCCATTTGATAAGTCTTGCTAGTCAAGATTTCAGCATTTGCATTCTCTAAACACAATAAAAAGCAGAACACACCTTCTTTGAATGTGTTGAGTTTTTGCTTGATGGGTTGGAAACCAGAGTCATCTGCGATCATTTCATCCTCCAGGGTAGAGACTTCTACGTACACCACCATTCTTTTCTCCTGCAAGATCAATCATCACTTCAGTCAGTTTTTAAAACCATTTCCTATCAAAACTAACAACATGGGATGATAAAAATTTCCGACAGAAATCTAAGGATCACCGCTTGCCTTCATATCCTCATCTTGACTACCACCAAACTTGTTAGTACTATAAGGAATACTACTAAGTTAGTAGTATTCCTTATATTATGTATCATTAAGACCATATGCTTTAAAGAATTGGTGATGCACCTTCTGCAATGTACAATGTATTTTGATAGCTTCTCACTCAGTACTTGAACATTACTTATTCCTCAGAACAAAGTTCCACTTCTAGAAGAGATCCTGTTATTCTACAGTCAAGCTTTTTATCACTCTCCCTTTGCTGAACATCATGCATGCTGTTTTCCAGTAAAACGCCAGCATGTCTGCAGAGCGTACTGCACCTGTGCGAAACGCCGAAACCCATAATGTATTGTGCATAGCACTCCAGCAGAAGGTCTCATATAAGGTTGTATTCGCGTATATAAGGTTAACATCCCATCTGTAGTTTCCAAATGTTATGTCGGAAAGGGTATCCTCTGCAACAGGCAAAATTGTAGTGCAATGGTGACCAAACATCCAGCAAAAACGTAGAAAAATCAGGGTCTTGCGCAGGCGCAGTACGTTCTACCCATGATGTAAAACACCCTACCTGAACCAGCCATGTGACCAGGTCCATGAAGGGCTGCACCACGGAGCTCTCATGGATCTTCTTGATGATGAGAACACTGAGCGGGGGTTTGTTCCAGGTCAGGCGCTGGGACAGGGGATCCTGCACATGCCTGCACACAGAAACGTTCAAACATCATTGCACTAGAATTTAAAAAAAAATTGATTACAAGCATGATTTTCAATTTAATTCAATTCAATTGAGTTTTAGATTTATCTAAATCTAATTCAATAAAATGGCGTCATGTGGCGTAGTGGATAGAGTGCTTGGCGCTCAAACAAGGAGCCCGGGTTCGATTCAGCTGGCAAACGAGAGCATTGCCGGGCAGGCTGGCGTGATCAAGGCAGACCTTGAGCGTAACCAAGGCATCCGGCATCTCGCTGCAAACATCCCAACTGGCACCAGCACGTCTCTCTCGATATGGATCCGCTGGGGAAGACAGATGCCCAAGTGTATGGGTCTCAGATTTGCAACCCGTTATCCACCTTAAACAAATCCATGCGAAGGCTACCGTGTCAACCCTCCTCACTCAGGACCTGACACGGTCTCCATTGTCTCTCAAGACAGAAGGATGCCAACAAATCACGTTTTACTACTACTTAGATCTATCAATTATTTATCTATTTTTCTTTTGTAAATGATATTTACAAGGTCAAGGGATAGGTGAGGTGAGATGAGGTGAAATGATATTTACAACATTTCATTATCCCACTCCAAGAGTACAAACTTTTGTCAAGTTTTCTCTTCCTCAAAAGCTATGTAGCTTCATTAGGCCACAACGACTTATAATTAATTTTATGGATGACATCCTCTGAAGACCCACAAACTAGCCAAAAATAAAAATGCTACTAAAACACAGGAATACAAAGCTGGTATCCTGAATTTGCTGCTGTACATAGCAAGGTATACAACATGCCGGCACATGCTGGCTTTTTGTGGAATTTATGAATCCGCACTGTATGTATGTACTGCGTTCTTGAGTCGAGGAACTTCGGTAGGCTGGGCTCCGTATTGTTGATAACTACCATGGACTACCCAGGCCTAGAGCGAGGCCAGGGCCCCGGAGGATGTGATCTTTTTTTTTTTTTTTTTTTGAGAACAGGTGAAAATCAATGCGCGTGTGGATGTCATCCATAAAATTACGTAGGCGTGGCCTTACGTTTATATCTTATTTAGTTAACCTACTTAGTAGAAGAATGTGTAAATATCTCTTTATTGTGACACAAAGAAAACAAAAGGTCCAAAGGTGTTAAGACCACTTCTTACATAAATGTTTTACTGTATTAGTGTATACCTTATGGAAAACAAATCTTGAAATGATCTACATTGTGTATCTTTAGAAAAACAGTGAGCATTGCAGCTCGAGAGATTTGTTTCAATCAAATCTACATTTTTTATAGATGTATAATGGAAAGACCCCTCCCTTTTAACAAACCTTTCAAGAACAACGCATACCAGTATATTTAGCAACCGTCCCTAAAGAATGTTTTCTGAATGTGAGAACTTCTGTGGCAATACTTCTATTGTTGAATGTAATGTCATTGTTTCGCTTTCTGTGACATAATATTCAACACAAATAGCCCTTTCTTTCCTCTAATGAAAACTTTTACATCTCTAAAAAGATGTTTCAGTGAACATGAAAAATGATTTTTTTGGTTGTCAAGCACATCAAGTTCAACTACAAATGTACATGCGCCGTGTAACATGACATATACATGTACATGTCACAATCTAAGGTCAACCTAAAACATAAGATTGAAAATATATAACTTACGTAGGACAAGACTTCTGTGGAACTTTCATCCTGAGAGAGTGTGGCATTCCTCACTCCACCCAACCCAAGTTAACACCGGACTAACCAAATCCAAGGCGCCGGTGACATGACATTTCACACCCAGACAATACGTAATGTTTCTCCAAACAATGACAGCATTACTGCCAGGTACAAGTACAAAGACGTGTACAAGTGCTTCCTCCTCGTTCCGGTTGGTTTCCCCAAAAGACAATAGTTTTTCCCAGAACTGTTATGATTCTCGAATGGGGCGACCTTTTAACTGAGAGCCGGCACACAACGTAATGGTACAAAGGGCACTTCTCACCTGACTCTGGGTCATACCAAATTTTCCTGACAGCCCAAAAATTTCAAAATGTGTAGCTGCAAAACTTTGTTCACACCCTTCAGTTTTTTCTCTTCAACAAACACAAAATCTTTAATGTTAGATGATGAAACTTCTATTCAAAACCTGTGTAAACTTGTACTTTTCTATCAAGCATCTTAAACTAACAGAATTGCCCCCCGTTATGCAAGTGGCGCATTCTGCTGAACTAATATACTAACAGGTGGATTTGTCACATCATGATGCAATGATGACATCATATGGCAACCAACACAAATGTATATGTACTGACATACAACCTAACAAAATTATCTGTTTCACTGAACCAGTTGACTTTGACAGAAAAACCTCAAAGTTGCTTGCAAACGGAAAATGAAAACACATGTTTATTCAAGCACACAGCACTATTGACCTAGAGAACGTTGACCCCATTCTTCTGGAAGTTCCAGATTCTTCTTTTCAGATCTCACTGCCACAACAGTTATGGAACAGTTTTTAAACATCTGTCAGTTGCTTCTTTTCTCAAAATACAAAAAAGGAATCCACAATGACAGTATTTTTGTAGACTTCTAACCATTTGTTAGTTTTATCCTACAAAAGAAAACAAAGTTGAATAGCTGGCTCTTTGCTGGTCAAGAAGCGAGAATGGTGGGTTAAGTGTTGATTAATGCATTATACACCACTCACAAATGCCACTTGGTTGATCCTGTTGTTTAGGAAGGCGACCGTAAAAGTTATTTCAGGATTCTATTTTTGACGGGTGACAAGCTGATAGATGGTTTTCTAAAGGCCACTTTCTAGGCTTTAAATGTGAAGGTGAAAGTTGTGTACTTTCAGTAATTATTTAGAGACTTTTGACCCAAATTTCTGAGAAATTCAATCTTGCAGTTACTAGTAATATACATACTAGTAGCAATCATGTAATATATTTCCATGAATAATACATTCTGAAAAGAATGTACAGACACAGCTATGAATAATTTTAAAATGTTGAGAACTCAAGATATTTTGACTTTGACAATAATATATGAATGAATCTTTATTTGCATGTTCATGCCCATGGGGCTAAATGCATACATCAGAAAGTGATGTTACATGTACATCATTCTGAGTAACATGATACATAAGATACAAGGATAACAGAATAACAGAATGACGTAAAAGTCTTAACAACTACTAGAGAATAAACTAAACTAATAATAGATAAGCATTTCCACAGATTGTACTTCTCTATCAAGAATTGCACTATCTCAGCATTCACCTATTTTAGTAACTAAGTTCTAGACTTTTTGAATGCAAAGAAGTAGCCCACTTACCTAGGAGACTCAAAAGTGGATCCTAAGGGTACTTCATAAGGCTCTACCTTCATTCCACAGCAAAAGCATGTTTTTACAACCATCATCTCAAAAAAGCATTTACTTTTTTGATCTTTGGTAAAAAGTTTTTCTAGTACTACAAAGTCAGTCTCTCTTGCAGAAAGGTAAATTTTAAGTCAGGAAAATTTTCTCGAATAGGTTTTTGAGATGGAAAAATTGTCTCTCAGCGGAAGAAAGTATGTTCAGTGTTTACTGTTTGAATGTTCTGATGTTTTAGCTGAAGTTGTCCTTTGACATTAAACACAGGTGTTTTTGTCAGGTCTGGTTTATACCATATATGGTGACTGCCAGAATTTTTAATATGGGAGGCACCATTCTAAAACTTCTGAGGGGAGGAGGGAGTTCTTTACCTTCTTAATAACTCTATAATTTCAAAATGAGAAACCCCTTTTCCTGATTTGTATATGTTTCTAACCCTCTCAGAATCTACTAATGGAATGGAAGCTACCAAAACTTCACCGCCTAAACATTTTCTTGCACCATGGCCTTCCTACAAATACATCAGTTTATTGATTTGAATCTATTCATATCTGTTATTTTACATCTTCTTATCAATAAAGCAATTTCAGCTTGAAACAAAAGTGTTTGGGGGTTGAAAATTCAACTTCATCACACTTTCTTGTCAGCTTTAGGTCTTCCACCAAACAAAAATCTTGACAACATCCTTCAGGAAAGACAGACATAACTACTGTAACAAAACCAAACCTAAAGTAAAGAATACAACTACTTCCTAACTATGGCATTGCATCTCATTACGCAAACAATCATGAAGATCCAGACATTTTTGATTTTTTCAGTTATTGACAACCAAACAAACCAGTACTAGTATATGGAAACAACCTTCTTTGCATAGATGATAATCCATCAAGCCATTACGTGTGGACATAACCTTAAGCAAGTCTATGAATAATTTAGTCTATTGATGGTTGCTCTTAGGTAAGACGTCTTGTCAAACGGTAAATGGATGTGGCAGATTCAGGTTAAAAATTGATAAATTTGATATCTATTCCAACATTTTCTTTCACAAACAATAGTTATATGACACACTTTCTTATGATCTTTGATGAAGAATATTTGAAATAGAAACCAAAGCACCACAGTTAAACAACAGTTACACAGTTTTTACATTATCTACGTATACTTACATGTGAAAATCTTTGGATATTCCAGGCATCGGGCCTACAGTGCCAAACTCCAAAACCTCTTCAATAAAATCCTTCCAATGACGATGTCTCTCTCTCTACACTGGGTTTCGGCACTGTGTCCTGGCAAATGTACTCTGACACAATGCCATGTTTCCCTCTAACCAAGGTTTTATATCCAGTCCAAGTCTCCACTTTTGGTAAATAGAAAGGTTGGGCCACGACTGTGACATCATCAAATCATCCTCATGAATATTCATGTTGGTTTGTTGAACCAATCACAGGAAAGAAAGGAGACATTAGATTGCTTCCGTAGAATGAGTCAGTTGACAACTGGGATGTGGTTCTCATTTCCATGGTTGCATCACTTCCCAGAACTAGTACAAGTATAACAGCACCCTGATATGTATTACTCAAAAGGTGATTACCCCACCACTACTGGGACATTCAGACTTCCGGCTATGTCAGTGGCTGGTTACAACTTTTAATGCAACACTACTTCTGAGAAGGAAACTATCCCCTATCAATAACTACGCAACTTGGCTTCCTGCCAACTACAGTAACTGTTATGATTCACTTTCTGTTTCCTCCACAGTATATAGCAGCCTCTGCTGAAGCTTGGCGAAGAAAACGTCACAAAATCTCCTTTATTTCTAATTCAAACGAAGAACAGACATGCACACTAAAAAAACATAACATCCAGAGTACCAGCTATGCTATAGGAAGTACTACCAGGAAACGGTGGTGGGTCTTGTATATGTTTTCTGGCTTCATTCCAAAAATTTGACCAAGGGTAAAGTCAGGACAGAAAGCTTCTGAAGTTCTGGTGAATTGAAAAAAATTAGCCAAAGGCAACGAAAAATGACAGATAGAAAACTTCTGCAAACCACACCTTCTTGTTTAATAAACCAACATGGTTTCTATTAAAACTCCTAAGTCACAAAATGGCTATGGCTTCCACAATGTTACCATCATCATGATCATGATAGCTAAATGATATTCACAGAGGTTTAAAATAATTTCTTCTTTCTATTCAAGGTAACTCATTCTGTAGTGCCATAAGAAACTGCCCCCTTATTTGCAAAACAACAAAGATGCAAACTGGCCTATTCTAGACTTACATGTCAGACCAGTTCAGCCAGGTGTGTTGTTATACTCTCTTTGAAATATAAACAACATGGCACCATCAGAAAAGTGTCTGCATTCACTGCATATATAGTCTAAACATCGATTGTAACACCAAAACCTTACAAACTATTCTCTACAACTTTTTAGTACAAGATCAGACTGCCATAAGAGTAAGACTTTCAAACAAAACAAAAATGTCAAGAAAAAAGGGGTAATCTTCTATGACCTTTACTGCACACTTTTGTGTACTTCATAAAATTGGTCTGTATATGAAAGATCAAAAACCACCCAATTTTATTGCATTTGACAGAAGTCAAATATAAAGTCAGACATTAGATTGACTAATGTGAAACCAACAAAAAAATCTTTCATTAGTTCTAAAAATTATCAGATTTAAAAATATTACCATTTTAAAACAATAATAAAAGTTTCTCCTACATTGGTTACAACATATCTATAGAAAGGCAGGTTTAAATCTATTTTATTATAAATGTACTGTATTCTGCTGTCTATATGTTAAAGTAATATCAGGAAGTGAACACAGCACTTTTGACTCCCAGTACATTTATGTTACCTGCCTAATATATGTACATGTAATTCCAAGATCAACACATAAGGTAATGCCTGACATTGGAAATCTTTATAATTGCAGTACAATAACATTAGATACACTGTACTATGAATGATGTTTATTTTTCTAGAAATGATTCGTAGTCACAGAGACCAACATATAAATCTTGTAAGCATGACTGAACTTGGAATGCACTCACGCAACCACTCAGTGCCTCTTGCATTGGCACACTCTCATTACACTTTTCCCCTCAAAGACATGCTTAATTTTTGCTCATGTCATTCACCGTTGTGTACTATAGCTAGTAGTTATGATATGATAAAAACTGCAGGTGAATACTTACATGATGGAGGCTGGGTTCTTCTGAATACAGGCCTTCGGCCCAAACGTTGTTGTGGGACTGGGGCCATGCAGAGACCTGGCACGCCTACAACAGCAAAGAAAGAAAACACATTTATCTGTAGTCTGAATGCCCTAAGGATATCATTATGTCACATTCTTGAAAAACACAAAAGACACAAATGACACCCTAAAGTGTACTTCAGGCGCCATACCGTAGCTTTAATTTTGCAAACATTCTAGATCTGAGGACAGACAATGTCTACAAGAGTTACGGGGCGAATTTCAAAGCAGTTAGACAAGTTTGTTCTACCTGGCCCATTCAACACCCGCCGGAAAGACATTGGTGAGATCATCAACTGTCAACCAATGACCGATCAATAAATCCCATGAGTTGCCACAACAACAGTAGTGTGTTATTGGGTGAAAGGTCAACAGGTCAAAGGTAGCCTAATTCTATTTTTCAGCACCTCACTCCACCGGCCCACCTGGACAAGATACCCTTGCATACGACTTTTTCTGTATACGTATACTATAGAAGACAAGAGAAAAAGGTTTGTACTAACTTACAAGAACTTGAAAACAAGGAGGGCCTTTTCTCTTGTTGTGCCTGGTGAGTTCTTAATTAGTTGCTACTGGCAAGATTTTTGAGGTACGCAGAAAAAGGTTTCCAGCCCAGTGCCTAACCATGTAATATCGAATATAAATGTCTAACATCCTCATGACATCTGCATTTTCACATTATCACAAGTACTATGTTTGCCTTTGACACTGTTTTATACTTCATGGCATCTGGAACATTTAGTAGATGTACACCTGGTTAAAGAGTATGGACATCTCTCATAAATACATTATTGTGCAACATATGATAAATCACTGTTTTAGTTTACATCACACACATGCAAGTTATTTCATGACATTTATTATTGATATCATAGGCAAATCATACATCTGTCGCCTTTTTTTACCAAGACCACTTGCTGGCCATGACGTCTTCACGATTGCTTGTAATTGTATACATGTACTTCAACAGTTAAACCACATATTAGCACTTACAAATAATCAGATTTGCTTCGTTGCTTCCTATATGGCATGCATTGGAAAGGAAGGAAGGACAAATAAAACCTTGGTTAAGGTGTGCAGGTCAGACTGTTACATTCATACACACAAAAAAATGTGCAGAAAAATCACATTGCTCTTTAAGGAAAAAAAAATTATGGAAAAATGGCTGAGTGATATTTTCCACTGAAAGATAAGCATACCAGAAGAAAATTTTAACCTTAATTTTAACCTTCATTTCCAGGAAAAAAATACCTTTTTGGGTTAAAAAAAAGATTTTAAAAGGCAAGGCAAAAAAAGGATAATACTGATGCTGATATTTTGTAACTTCACATTTGGTTAAGAGTTCTCTTACTAATGGCATAATATCACGGCTAGTTCAGGAAATATGATACTAGTGGAAGGAAATGGTCCAAGTAAAAAATTATCTTAAGTAAATTATTACAACAAACACGGTCATAAGCACACACGTATATCAAAATATAGCGTCATGTAAAAAGGAACAAAACCGGCGTAAACATATGTTTTCGACATCTGAAAGGAAAGGAACCGTATCAAAGAACCGTCAGAAAAGAAATCTCAAAGCAACTAGTCATGCACGATGACAGGACTTCAAAGAAAATATTTTTTCTAAAACGTCGATTTACCTGAATCGCGACCTCTGTAGCGACTCGGACGGGGAAGGGAGCTCATCAATTTTCTCCATGCTGAATCTAGAGACACTCCTCGGTTAAAAGAATCTAGATCTGTGGATGGGAAGGGTGGAAATGTGCCGAATTCCCGATTTTCGGGATAAAGTAGGCCAGCGAGACTCAGACTAGACCGACATCACACCACCGGCTGTAACCTTAGACCTTACTTACTTCCGGGAAATGGGGCATCATGGGAATTTGATTGAAACTGCACTTCTAATTTATTCCGCTAGGTAGCGTACCTAAGTAGTCAAGTTGTCACACCGACAAGTGCATGTGAAACTCAATATAGACGTAACAAAGTATGACATTTTCCCCGGAATCATATATTTTCCAACTGAATGTTGAAAAAGCTGCTCTTACAGCAAAAATCACGCCGTTCATACTCTTTTTTTCCTCAAACGATTCAGATCTCGCGAGATGTTGCTGTGTACGAGATATCACGAGAATTCGAAGAGACCGGAAGAGAATCAGGAGCAACACAGTGCAGTGAGTTTTGTCTATATAGTTTTGAACCTTTTACTTTCACTGTTACCTTGCTCGTACATGTGCTTCACTCATGTTTGACTTGTCAACATATAGTACCTCCTGAGCGGATTCTTAATTTTCTAAGGTTCTGTTTGAGATATCTATGTTGCAGAACATAGCGTTGACATAACGTTATATTACAAGGGCCCGGAAGCAACATGTATGGACTTTAAAACTGATCGTCATTATGTTAATTATAACGGGGTCTTTATAAAAATGTACGTCGGTTGGAGAACAACAACTGGGATTCGGCATCTTGAATTGACCAAATACAGTGACTACGCTACTGTATTGAAGTGTATAAAGATTTAATGTGGACATACAAAGCATGTCGGTAAGACAGCAAGAGAAAGGAAGAATCATTATATCTAGGAGGTTGGAACATGTTTCTGTACGTGTAATTCTTATCAAAGTGTCAAGGGGGCTCTTAAGCTGCATGTGGACCATATACCCATATAATAACTTATCAGAACTCACTGGGGAAAACATTTTCCTCACAACTGAAATATGACCCAATACATGTAAATAATACAAACAATAGATAATAACACAATGGTATAATGTTAGAATGATTTTAAAGTAATCAAAATGCAAACTTATATCTTTATGTTTTTATAATACTTATTACATATTACTTATATTTTCAGAACTAAGATCTAGGATGGCCTCGCGGGGAAAGAGTGAGACAGAGAAGTTGAAGCAGAACCTGGAGGAACAGCTGGACAGACTGGTGCAGCAGCTACAGGACCTGGAGGAGTGTAGGTACGTTAAGCTGAACGTGGGTCATGTGGCGTAACAGCAGAGCATTTGGCTCAGAACCAAGAGTTCCCGGGTTTGAATCCTGCCATGTCACCAACCTTGTCCCCTTGGAAAAATTTTTGTCCTGTTTTAAGCTGTCAACACTTGTGACAGACTACATGTATTTATTTTCATTATGAGCAAATTTTCTTTTCTTCTTTTTTTTTAGCAATAATTCTTATTTCTGGTCCATCCCTTGATTATCATGCTACATAATACATGTATATTCATTTATCAACAGAGGATCCCAATATTGATAGCAACTGCTTTTCTACAATGATTTATGTAATTATGACCCAAACCATGTCATGGCCCATATTGTTTTTCAGGGAAGATTTGGATGAAGATGAGTATGAAGAAACGAAGAATGAAACCTTGGAGCAGCTAAAGGAGTTCAGTAAGACACTGGAGCACATGGTGCAGGGAGACATGACACTCGTGGACGAACTCAACAGCATGCAGCTGGTAGGTCAAAGTTCAAGGTCAAAGAGAAGAGCGAAATATGTCCTTCAGAAAAAAGGCAGGGACAATCACCTGCTTCAAGATTTACATCATTTTTTTTAAATTGGTTAAAATGACCACAGTCATGTACTCAGTCATATACAATCATATTTTTTGAAGATGAATGAATTTTATAACATAATGGCATAAGTACAATGTGCAGTTGCAGCCTGTAAATAAGCAGTTTCGTAGATTAAATTTTTGTAGATGAATTGCTCATAATACTGACTGATTCCAATGTGTGTGTTTATGTATTACAGGCCATCAGAGCAGCTATTAGTGAAGCCTTCAAGACCCCAGAAGTCATCAGAATGTTTGCCAAGAAGCAGCCTGGGCAGCTCAGACAGAGATTAGCTGAGGTAAACATTCAGTTGGTTCAAATCCTGTTCAACTTCATGTTGATAGATTTGTTACTGCTTCTTTGCTGTGTTTTCTTTTATGATGCATAATTTTGTGCTTGTTTGTCATGTTTTTAACTAAACCCATGCACAATATTTCAATATTAATAGACATTGAAATATTGTTGCCTTATATACATGGTAGTTGACACCGACAAGTTTGTTGCTTATCACTACCTACACTATAGATAGATCACTGCATTTCAGGTAAATTGCACCTCTTTCTTGGAGTAAAAAGTCTCCTTGGTTGAGTAAAAATATAGTCTCCTTCAGGTAGATAATTGAAATCTGTTTGTTGCCCTTCCACAGATGGAGCGTGATGCGAAGGTAGGCAAGCTGCCGCCGGATGTCTACACACAACAGAAGATGGAAGTTCTCATGGCCCTCAGGAAACTGGGCGACCAGGTAAGGCAGGCTCCCTAACCTGAATGCAGAAAAGTTGTTGTAAGGGAGTTAAACGGTGTTTTTTCAAAGTCCAATAAAGTGCATGATAGCCTAGCATTTCCAATTGCAATTTTGCTACAGTGCCTGCACCCACATACAGGTAATAAGCCTGTCCTTGGTGCTGAACACCGTCCACACCAGGTAAACATGTCTGTCCTCTGTGCTGAACGCCATCCACATTCCACATTCCACACACAGCAGTACAGGTAAACATATCTGTCCTTGGTGCTGAACACCATCAACATGAACACACGGGTAGTTATGTCTGTCCTTAGTGCTGAACTTCTACATACATATAGGTAAACATGTCTGTCCTTGGTGCTGAACACTATCCACATTCCACCCACAGGTAAACATAACACACACACAGGTAGTTATGTCTGTCCTTGGTGTTGAACACCATCCACGCGCACACACACACACACACACACACACACACACACACACACACACACACACACACACAGACACACAGCCTGTCCTTGGTGCCAAACACCATCCACACACAGGTAAACATGTCTGTCCTTGGTGCTGAACACCATCCATACAGAAATGTAGGCTCCTTCAAGTTGATTATCAATGCAGCACCAGCTCAGTGAAGTAATGATCGAGAATGTCTGTCATGTTTTCCTTCTTTGTATTCCCAAGAGAGTCATATTTAATGAGATTATGGTACGTAATTAGCTTTGAGCATGACATGACTTCATAATCCATGACACCTCCACCCAGGTTCATACATTTGGGATGTTTGTTGCATCCCTACTTGTAAATTATAGGTCGTAACCATAATTAATTCTTCGACATGCATACAAATCATATCCTTCATCTGTTAGCATTTATATACTCAGTATTTTATTCAGTTACTTATGAATCATATTTGTTATCAAACTTTTCAAAGGGAAATTTCATGATTATGATTCATGATTTCATGGAATACCCATTGTTGAATTGTCCATTCTTTCAAATTCAACATGAACTAGTTTTTTAATGCTTGGCTAAAACTCTAACTGTACTGATAATGTATGACTTTTGTTTCTTCCCACAGTATTTTCCCATGAATATTAACAGCCATATTCTGTCATAATGTTGATAGATAACTACTCACGCTAGATTGATAGAAACCAATTGACAAGAAGAAATCTAGTTTTGTTGCAAAGGTTTGTTGCAAAGGTTTTTCTCCTCTATGTACATCCACATTTTGTATACAACTTATATGTGACAAATGTCATCTTATGTCAAGTTCACCATGGGCATTTCAGTAGTCACCTACTGCCCCAATTTGTGGTCTGCATTGCTATTACCCACATTCTAGCATTCTACACCAAGGGGCACTACAGGAGTAAAACTACCTCTCCTATGGCCTCCCTCTTGTCACCTGACCTTGCCCTTGGCTATAAGTCACTGGCACCCACACACGTACCTACCCACAACTGATCATCTGCCATTTCAAGCTCTAATAGGTCACTGCCTGGCACATTTGAAGGGCATTGAAAATGGATTTTTCCATAAAATCGCCAGTTCTAGACCAAAGAGGAGCCCAAGAATTTACGCAAGTATTGATTGGGTTGGAGATTGGTTGCTAATTGTAGCACAGGCCGACGTCAAAACATTCTGAGGAAGAGGAAAAGACAATTTTTCTGGCTTATGGACCGTAGCCAGCTATTCTATGAATTATGTTTTAACCTTTCCAGATTCATTACACGGACGGAAGCCTACGGGGAGGCTTAGGTTAAACCTGGCGTGATGTAAACTCAAAACTTTTAGATTGTTGCTGCTGAATTAAAAATTCATCATAGGATCTTTAGACATTTTTAGATCCCAACACATTTTTTAGACCATCACCTAATCTATGGTGACAAGCAGCATTGTTGAATTGTTATACCGTAAGTACTAAAAGTTTTGCACTTTTCCTTGATAGCTGAAACCAGAGGAAGCTAATTTCCTGACCACAAACAGTAATGCAGCACTCAGCCAGTTTGAGAAGGTGTCTGAAGACATGGGTAGGTTATACAGTCTTACTTTTTTTGTCAACAAGTACTATACCCTGAATGAAAGCTCGTCTGTGTTGGTAGAATCCTTAGTTGTAGAGTTTTCAGCTTTAATCCTTTTTGTGTTGGATCAAAGCTGAAAACACTACTGTACAGCTTGATCCGCACATTTTCGAAGAAACTTCACAGTACTTCTCCTTTGCTGCTAGATTTTTTCATCTAATATACAAGGGGGCCCGCAAGCCCTTTTCCGTAGAGCGAAATTGGCCATTTTAATTTTATGAAGAGCGTAGGCGGACCGCTCTAATATTTTGCGTACAGCATATTCGACGTTTTAATTCTACGTAATGCGTTGTAGCCACTTGGAATTTATCGTAAAGCAAAATTGAGAGGTTTCCGTTCAGCGTAGAGCGTTGTCGGGACCCCCCTTGCAGGCCCTCATACAATGGGTAATATTCTGAAAAAGCAAAAAGAACCTAGTTTGCTTGGCAAATGGCAACTTGCAATTATCTGATTGTTAAATCTGTAAATCTCTCTTAAATTGTTTCCCAACTAGACAGATGTGGAGAACAGGTGTGCCTTATGGACAGGGTCAAAGGTTGACCTTGCCGGTTGACCTTCAACCATTTGGTTGGTGACCCATGACCTGTCCATGTCACATCCTGTTGTAAGCCTTGTGTGTCTCTACTCTATAATTATGTTAGGTGCAACTTTATTAACCTCAGTTAGGCCACACCAATTTAATTTCTTGGTTAACGGATTCGTCCGCTTCATTTTTTTCTGATTTGCAAATAAAAATAAAAATTCATAATCAACTGCAAAATGCTCATATTTTGCCCTGAACAGTTGAAAACAGTCCTTTTCATCCTAGTTGTCACAGTTATTCCATCTTTCAATGCAGTCATTCATTAAAAGTTCAAAATTCATTGTTTAAATTTTGAACCAGCCTGGTGTGTTGACTTCATGGCTCCTATCGTACCATTTTGGGCCATGATAGGATGCCTAGGTCTGTTTCTATTTATTTATTTTTTTTGCCCGCCCGCTCCATTATTTTTCTAGAAAAATCCGTTAACCAAGAAATTAAATTGGTGTGGCCTTACCAAAGCCTGTTTGCCTTCCTCATGACCCTCATTGTACTCCCAGCCTGAAGAAAAACTTCCGTACTGTGTAAATCTTTGAGTCATGAAATGTGTCAGATATTATTGATAGTTATTGAAGTTCAACGTAATTTTGTTTTTACAACTAGCATTCTAATCCACCATGAACTTACTTTCATAGATCATGAAAATTCATCAAAATTCATAGCTGTTTTCATAAAACTTTCATCTGTTTTAATCAAGAGACCAAATAATTGAGTCAGCAACAAGAGACTTCACGAAGAATCTGCAAACCATCATAGTCACGCATGCACTGTTATTTCCTCTCCTTTTCTGGTATTACAGCTGATGGGTCAAAAATAGATATTTCGTGATGCATTTTGAGGAAATAGCAGATAGTTCCTGTAACATGTATCCCAGATAATGAATTAGATAAAGAAGGATGTTACATAACCTCCCCACAATACCCCCACAGAGTTAGCAGCAGCCAGATAAAGTGAAGTTACATAATGTTCTTGGTTTAAAATATCCACAAGCAAGAAGGGTATGAATGATGTTATATAACCCAAGGGCATTATATAATGTACTTGAGTAACCATTTCATATAATGGACTCAGTTCAATCCTATTTCCTTGTTATGTGAGATGAAATACTGTCAATGAAATAACAGGATGTAAAGCTATTTGTGTCTTCCATTCAGGTGCTGGTGACAAGCTCTTACAAGTCGCCGGCTCCCAGGTGGCGGCAGCCGAGAAGTAGAACAGCCTGGCCAGTGCTGTTCCAGAGGGAAGGCTGGTGGTGATCGGAACAGCTTTGTTTCTGATAGCTAGAATTTCTCACAGGATAACTATGTGTTTGTTGTTTAAAGAAAATGCAATTCTTGGTGCTGAATGTATAATCTTTTGTGTTTTTGTGTATACCTGAAGATGCTGAGAACTGAGATGATATGCAAAGAGGCATGCCCGTAGCCAGGGGGGTTCTGACCCCCTGCACATGCTTAAAGTTTAAAGGTCCACTTTTATCTAAAGGTCTTCGATTTTTCTTTAAAAGGTGGAATGATTTGTATCACCAGGGGGACTGTAATCCTATTTGTCTCTGACTTTTCCTTTGAAACCCTCTCAAAAACGCAGGAAATGCCATTTCAGAAGGTTCAAGGCACTCGCTGGTCTCTTGGACAGTACATATACAGGTAGGATTAGAACCCCCAAGCAAAATCCTGGCCACGGACATGAGAGGGTTTTAAGATCATAAGAGATCGTTGTCATTTTGTTGAATTTCAATTCTCACCATCATATTACTTGAAGATCTAGTACATTCCTGTACTGATACTAGAAAGACATAAGAGGTGTTAAGAACTGTTTCGTTTAATGACATGGGGCACTTCCTGCCCTTTCAATTTTAATTACCAGTATTACCTACATATCTAATTATCCTTAACTGCCTTCCAATGTTGCAAGACTTTGAAATTCCTGACCGACCCCCAAAACAAGTCAGAGTTTTTGTGAATTCCTTGTTTTATTCATCATTGTGAATTTCTCTGTCTTTATGACCTGGGGTTTCCACTGCCATTCAGCCACAAACTCCCCAGCCTGCGCTTCCTCTGGGACCTAACTACCTGTGCCTGACCTTTTGGGGGCTGTAGTTAGGTAATTCCTCCACTCACATTGTGTCACTCAAGATTTACAGTTAGTAAGATACGTGGCATAGCATGGCATAATGGTCAGAGCATTTGGCTCAGAACCAAGGGGTCCTGGGTTCCAACCCCCAACATGCCCGATACCCTGATGAGGACACAAATGGATTTGGTATCGCCAATGTGCCAAGATCTGTACATTTGCCACTAAGAACCGTACAATGTTTTAAGTAGTACACACCCTAAAAAATGCCTCTGTGTTAGGGAGGTAATGAAATAGCCCTAACTCTATTATGGCAAGGCTTCTTGGGTGGTACATGTTTTCTCCAGAATGCTGGCACAATTATTAGGTTAGGGAAAGTGTGAGAGTGTAAGACCCCAGGGAATAGTGCAGCTACTGCTAGATGGAGGGAGAGGATGTATGTCCATAATCTTAGGTAATGTTTCATATATGCAAGGAGTGTACTAGTATACAGTATATAAGCTTAATTCTTATGACATTATATAATATCATTACTGAGATGCAATATTAGGGTTTTCATCCATTCATTTGTGGCATTACTTGAGTTCCTGAACCTCATCAGCATACTTTCACAAATATTGTTCATACTTTTGTCCTGAAGAATGTCTCTGAAAAATAAAGTCTTTTTGAAAAATAAAAAGACAACATGTAATTTTCATACATAGAAGTAGTAAACACCTAATATTCCTTATGTCTAGACTCTATGCAAATGCATTTCTATTTCTAGGATTACATATCTGTTATACTGGGGAGGAAGGACCATAAAGTACCACCCACCCTGTCATTCTATCAGCCTCAAGTTGTAAAATTTACAGAGTAATTTTCCCAGTCACTAGTTACTGATGAGAAGAAGTCCCAAGTGATATTCAACAAGGTTGTACAATATATTGAATTGGGGAGCCTCAGTGTTGGATGCAAGGCTTCTTCAATTGCCAATGCTTATGCCCACTCTTTCTCATGTTAAATGCTACATAATTCCAGGTTTAGATTATATTTGTGAAACTATGTTTTATTTCAGCCAAATGCATTTTGCAGACCATCCACATTTGTACTATCTTTGAGGGAATTCAGGTCATATTTGCCCAAAAAAAATGATAAAAGCTAAATTTCTCTATATTACAGGAAGCTGTATTATTGTTGAATCACAGCATATGCATATTTATAATCCTAAACCTTTATGGTGAGGTGGACAATACATCAAAATCATTTTGAATTGTACCATTCCATTGTTTATATGGATCACAGAAATGAGGTCATGCCACAAGTTCAGAACAGTGCCCATATTCGTAGCTTATTGTGGTACATGTACCTCTCAGTGATAAATTCGCAACCCTCCCAGAGTCAGCAAAGGTGATAGATGGATACGCACACTGCAATATCCACTTGTGTGACCTGCAACGGCAACCTCATGCCAACTCCCCACCATGGATGATAGAATGAAAAAAAATGTTGACGCCTGAGCTCCCAAACATACTGACATATTGAGGCTCTAGAATGTACTAAGTGGTTATCCCGTGTTTTGAGGAATATCTGACTTGATATGGTACTCAGAAAGGTAAGTACTCAAACAGCAGGTTTTTTGTGTGATAAGACATAAAAAAAAAAAAACGGTCAGATGCTTGAGCTCCCTGACATATTGAGACTCTAGAATGTACTAAGTGGTCATCCAAGTGTTTTGAGGAATATCTGACTTGATATGGTACTCAGGAAGGTAAGTACTCAAACACAGCAGGTTTTCTGTGTGATAAAACATTAAGAAAAAAACAGATGTTTCAGCTCCCTAACATATTGAGACTAGAAATAGTAAAAGTGGTCATCCAAGTGTTTTGAGGAATATCTGACTTGATGTGGTACTCAGGAATTTAAGCACTCAAACGCAGCAGGGTTTTCTGTGTATGATCTCATTCCCTGGCTGTAATGGGCCTACAGGCTTTCCCTCGCCGCCCGACAGGAGACAAATCGTCCACCAGACTGCAATTTCCTGCAGGGTGAGCTCATCTGGGCCGACCTTTTCCCGAGATCTGGGATCAGAGCTGGACTGGCCGAACCAACCACATGTCCTGCTTCCTGGCACCGAGTGGTGAAAAGGCGGGATGGAAAGTATTGGATCTGCTTCTTTTTCAGAGCATATGTGTAGAAAACCTAGGTTTAGTGTTAGTATTGCTTAATATTTTACTACATGTACCTCCATCTATTCTCTATTTCTTCTCTCCTTTAATTTTTAGCCATCACATTGGTAAAACCAGAGCTGGTACCGGTATTATGATTGGCCTCTGATAGTGAGAGGGTGAACAGAAACAGAGGCAACATGGATGGAAGAAATTGAGATGGATTTCCACAAAAATGGGAAAGAGTTGACCATTGGGAACAATATTTTGGTGCAATACTAATAATTGTCATATTGTTATCAAAGGTTACATGCTATTTTCCTCCATTGTCTAATGATGTCCATTGGGAACAATATTTTGGTACAATATTAATAATTGTCATATTGTTATCAAAGGTTACATGCTATTTTCCTCCAGTGTCTTATGATGTCTACAAACAGAAGTACAATATGCTGTTAACCCTTGAGTTGTGTACAAAGAATTTCTTATCCAGCATCTGCTTTATAAGTTTATGGATTTCTTTCCCAGGAAGAAAAATTGATTGACGTCTCACAGATTCTTTCAGATAACCAGGAATTCAGAATACACTCCCCCAGATACATGTATTGGCCAGTACATGCCTCCATATCAGTACTAACTGTCAGACTACAACAACAATATGGCCACCTCTGGGCTTACACCAATCGGTTTTATGATATCACAGATATAATCTTTATTGCACAGCTGTGTCCCATATAACCTCATAGCACTGTGAATACAAACTGTGCATGAAATGATAATATTCACACATTTTAGCTACCATAATACAACTAAGTAAGACATACCAGTAATGTCCAAAAATAAAATGTAAAACCTAATGTATGATATCTGATTATCGTGCTGCCAATCTTCCACTTATTTCAAATAATCTTGCAGCATCCTTTTTAATACATCTCCTTGACAGCACATTACCTTTCCCTGTCCTTATCACCCATTAGAGAGAACATTTGCTGGGGGCTTTTCTTGATCCTTACTGAGATTTTGACACATCTTGTAGAACCCATGCAAGAGTTAATTTGGACTGTCCACATCGGGGAATATGAAGATTTAGATTCTGGCTGGCAGCCCAGGCAATATCATGGTATCATTAGCGGTTGACGTATGTGTGGTGGTAAGAGGGCAGGGAAGGGGACTCGATACTCAATATTGTCTTGTTCTTTGGAGGGTACGTCTCAATTTTTGGCCACATTGAATCGATGCAAGGACTGGAATTACTGAGAACAGGGAAGATTGGAGACTACGAGATTTATATGCATTAGATTAGAACTTTCTATAGGGTGTTTCTGGGTCAAAATTAACAGAAGGTTATGGTATAAAACATTTATGCGCCAGTTCTATCAAACCAAGCGTACACATGAAAAGATTTAGCCTAAATTCAATGTATATATACATTAATGTTGAATCAATTAAAGGCTGAAATAAGCACAGCAGATTTCACATGCCTATCTGCATGTTGCTAACATTTCATAATACAGTCAAACCTGGCCAACCCAGGGGACCACTCAAATTTGGCCTACTTGAGCGGGTGGTCTATTTGAAGAAAATCAGACCAACGCAAGACATCACAAAGATATGACAGTTTACAAGTATTATCATATTATTATTATGTATTATAAACCATTATTGCATCATCATCATCAAAGTACATGTATTAAAATACTGATCCTTTCTTGACTACAAAATGCACACAAAGTACAGTACTAATGGTTGACACATGAACAAGCAAAACACTGATGTACTTCCAGAAATGAAATATTTATTGCATAGAAAGTATTTGATTTTTACCACTGCAGACTCAGTGCTTTTAAATGTACAATCATGTACCACAGTAAAAAGCAGTCACAATTATAGCGTCACATTTACGCTTTGAAATTTCACAACTTACTAGTATCTACACTTGGGTGTTTATAAAAAAATTTAGCCTACATTACGATTTAGAGGTCTTCCCATAAATTACATAAACATTATCTTTATACATTTATTAGTACTAACAAATTGTTTAACATCTATTACAAATCTCACGACTATGGCTCATTTAAAGGAAGTGTTTCATATCATGTTGCAACATCCTGTACCTATATTTGCTTACGGAAGGGGTAGATTTAATGATTTTTTAGCTGTTACTTTAGATACATGTACTATATAACATGTGGAAGTGAGCACTTCCTTACTAGGTTTCAGGTAACATTGTTTTTTTTTCTGAAAACAGTGTGAGAGATCATTATTTCATAATTATTGTGGCATTGGGAGACAGTCTCAGTATATTTAGTTCATTTGAGATACTAGTAACCAACCTTATACTGTTTTTCCAATTCAGTTGTCAGCACTTCAGAACTCTTTTACGAACATCAATCTTTTCAAGCACCTTTGTTTGCGCAGGTCTATGTGATTTGGTGCCTCATTCCCAAATTTCATTAAAAATCAAAGTATAACAGACATTACCATTACAACACACAATTTTGTTTTGAAGCTGCCCAGATTTTGCATCAAATGTGATATTAAATGGATAGCCCAACTCTTTCTGATTGATGCATTGCGTCCATTCAATCATTTTCAAAATGGGGCTTAATAGTCATCTATCAAAGGTATCAGTCACGCATCTAATTGTGCTCATCTTTGCTGGTTATTCGATTGTGACATCCAAGTGAGGAGGAGTCATGTTTTGTCCGAACAGCAAAACGGATGAAAGATTGGCCAAACTGTGGGACTTTCTGGGTTTCTTTGTTAGAATAATATGCGTAGAAGGAGAATAAAATACATAACGTTACACGTACATAGCGTTCAAAGAATAGAGAAGTGCAATGTAAGGTTTGGTACTGTCCTTCATTAGTCATTGTCTGTATTGACAGCTCCAGGGTAGTGGACAGTCAAACAACAGAGCACCTCAGCCCGTATAACACCTATCTATCTACATTCTACACCTTGGAGAGTTAACACCCTTTTGGGCAGCTTAACAATCGCGGTTGCCGCCCAATTTAGATCCAAGTGAAGAGGAGTCGTGTTTTGTCCAACGCAGCAAAATGGATGAAAGATTGGCCAAACTGTGGGACTTTCTGGGCTTCTTAGTTAGAATAATATGGGCAGAAGGAGAATAAAATACCTTGGATCTTGATGTTTTTGACTTGTGTGTCCTGTGACAAAGGACAAAATTCCAGTCCTCTAGTAGATGTGTATAAGTCAGAGCGTATTACTTCGTCAAATATTGTACAGTTTTATTAGGTTAGGTGTGAACGCCCTAGGATAAATGGGTCCTCAGACGACGTTTGACAGGAACATTGTGAAAAGGCCTTACAAGTGAATGACTTTGGTAGATCTCACAATGGCTCCGTGAACGGATGTCGTTTGCTACGGATGTCGTTTGCTGAATTGAAATGCATAACCTACTTGAAATATCTTTTAAAGATTACTTTCCTAATTAGCCATTCATGGATACATCTTTGGGTTACTGTCGTCATATATGTTGTTTGCCTTTGGAAAGGACGAGAAGCCGTTG